ATTTTTATTGCTTAAAATTATTAAGATTCATATGCTTAAAGCTTAATGCTTATGCCTATTTTTTATTTTCATACTTTTTTATATTGTATACAAATAATGTATACTCAATATTATTGGCTGCAGCATATATGCCCATATATTAAGCCGTCTATCGTGCTTTCTGCGATAAGCTAGCATTATTCATACCGATTTCACTATGTTTCACTTATCAGGAACACAATTCCAAGTGGAACTGAAAGGCACAAAACAAAATCAAAGCTGTTATCGTTAGTAGAAAGGAAGCAGCTGGCCTATAGGCTTAACGATAAGCAAATGAGTAAATCTTGAGCTTGGGTTTCATAACGTGCGATAAAAAATCCAGAAAAGCAGAATTTTTATATTTCTGATTTATCAGAGTATTCCCCATCTAAATACTGGCGCCAAAAGTCATAAAAATCGAAATCGTGGAAGCCACGACTTTCAAAAGTTTTCTACTCTTTTTTAGTAAATTATTACGATTGTAATTAATTAATTAAAGACAAGGGAAAATTAGGCGAGATCTTTTCACAGTCAGCGCCAAGCAATCAAATACACGAATGTAGAGTTTTCCACAGCTATTAATTGTTACCGCGTCTCTGGCCATGTCTCCGACAATGCTCTCACAAATGTAAATGTCACGAATGAAACGACGCCGAGAGACGAAGGCTGTGGTAGATACAGAGACGGCATAAGCCGCGCCGACGCCAAGACACTTAAAAGCTTTGGGCATGGACAGCCAGACAGACACACAAAAAGACATATATACATATGGCCAAGCCACATTTGAATTCCTGTTGCAGCAAAGGCATGGAGTTGGAATTTGTCTGCCCGCGTGCCGAAAACTTGTCACTGCTGCTGCCGGTGTGGTCGAACGAGCCAGGGGAGGAGGAGAGAGAGGAGAGATAGCGTCTGAGATCAATCGTGTTGCCGGCACAGATCAAGCGAAAGCATTGCTTAATATAGACGCCAGCGGAAGGGTCAAATCGAGATTTCCAGGGTTTATAGCTCATAGCTCATAGAGCTGGCAGCAAGGATATTGCGAGCAAGTTCGTTACTTAAGTCTTTTGTTTCGCACGCCTTTTACTCATGATGTACCAGCATGAAATAGGACATTGTCACGACTCACAATTAATTATAAAACAAAATGCATACAAATTAAAGCATTATCAGCAATTTCTAAACAAAAACCAACAACAACAACAACAACAATAGAGCACCATTTCCGCCATCATTTCAGCAGTTGATAAGCCAAGTGCGCCGCTCCATGGAAAAATATACCAGTACAAAGTATTCGAGTATGAGCTATGAAATGGAATTATGGGCTAACACTATTCTTCTCACAAAATCACCGATTGGAACAATCAGTTAAATGCTCAAGCATGCTTATATCGCCCATTATTGTTGTAGTTGTTGTTGTTTGGGGGAAGGCTGTTTGCTTATCACTTGAAATATTCAAATTGAGTTTTGTCTCAGTGTTGTTGGTGCATGTGTAAGTAGCCGCATTTCAATTGCGTTTTAGTGGTTGTCAAGTGCCGCTTGGATAGCGACTCAACTCCCTTGCAAGTGTATGGGATATAGCTTCAGTGCAGTCATGTGTCACGGCGATGAGTAATTGCTTCAGCTGCGGCGCACAGGCAAAAGCCCTAATTGCATTGCGATAAGCCATGCAGATACACACATATCCACATACGCAAAAGCACCTATTGCCATCAGGAAATTCTCTATTGTGGTGTCTTATCGAAGGCATTCAGCTAAATTTAAATCTTGAATAGGTTGTCTCCTTTGGATAGTCATTTGCCCTTTCTCCATTCCTGCAAATAAAATACTAAGTAAAATTTACTAAAGCATGTTCCTAGTTGGCAAAATCATTGACTTGATTGATCAGTAAAATATATAAATGATCTTCACACAAGTTTATTATACAACATATCTCTATGGTAGATATATTTCCATTACTCTGTTCAAGTATAGAACTATTAATAAGAGAGAATTAAACATATTTGCTTATAATGATAACGATATTAAATTGTATCCTTCACTAGACTTCATCGTATGCCATTGTAATCAACACATATGAATATTAGAAATATAATAGTCAATTTAAGAGCAGCACTAAGCTTTTTACACTCACTCAGTTTAACACTTCTACCATAGACATACATATATAACTCTCAATATGCAAAGTAACTGCATGTAAGCCCCACAAATCGCTTGATACACTCTACGAATGCATTTGCTACATAAAAACGCAATAATTACAACTCCAAACTGCCTAAAACACTCAAGAGAGCGACGTCTGCATCTGAAAAGATTCTCATAATTACGCATAAGAAGAAATAAACATACAAATTTGAATAAAATCGATATAACCAACAGACATGGGTCTGGGAGCGGAGTAGAGTTGAAGGTGGATGATGCTGTTGCTGCTGCTGCTGCTGCTGTTGTTGCTGCTGGCGTACTTTGCCATTAAGAATCGAACCACAAATCCACTTAAAATCACTACAAAAACCAATAAAGATTTCTTTCATCATTGCCGAAGGAGTGCGCGAGATGGCAACAGCAACAGGGAGAGAAAGAGAGCGCGTATTGATCGAGCGACAATGAGAGTGAGACAATCATGAGACGATCAATAGGCATTGTAATCAAATGCAATGCACTAGAGCGCTTAAGGGACTTATGGAATACTTGGGATAGACGTTGGCGGTGACGCCACTTTGAAATTTCGGTGACATTTTCCTTAGTTTCGGGTAGGGCAGCTGAAAGGGTATACAGGATTAGTGGAGCCAGAGCAATTATCATTTGTCTGGCTGTTATCAGTCAAATAATATGCATATCAATGATTTTTCAGCTCACTCTTTGAACACTTTTCTTTACTTTCATTCAAATTTTGAAAATCGAAGAGTTTTCCATTGTGACTGGCTTCAGCTGTGGTTCCAGGAAAGCGCGTGCCAAGGCTTGTGCTCGTATCGCGGCCTTTCCTTCAACGTATTCGCCCGATAAACGTCATAAAACTTAATCACCGCAGCTTCGGATCCCGCTACATATGGTGGCTGCGCCTCGTCAACGAGATCGTGTGGATGATCACATTAACGGTCCGGCGCATGATATATAAAGCTGTTCACAAATTAAGGTCCATTAGCGCAGCAGGATGTGTCAGCGTCGATTGAAATATGCGCTTGTCTGGCTTGCGGTTTTTTGTTTTGACATCTTTCGTTCCTTCTGCTTCAACAGACTCTCTCACTCTCCTGCGACTGATTTGCCTCAGTTTTCACTCGCTCTGCTTGCTTTTTGCATTTTAATGGAAAGAATTTGTTAAGCATCCAGCTGGGGAGGAAGGTTGCCAACGAACCTTTTTTGATGGGTGAATTATGTGATTCCCGCTGAACAGAAACTAAGGCAAATCACTTGATTAATGATCCGAACCCTAGGTTTTAACAATATTGTGACTGGTGTTTGGCCCACTTGTGTTCATCTGTAAAATTGATGATCGTCAATGAATAAGTGGCCAATAGAAGCCAATAGAATAAAAAATAGATCACAGACAAAAACAGCTTGCACAATTAGGTCTTGGATTGATTAAAAAATTCTGCTTAGATTTGGCTAAAAAGCCAATGTGCACATCAGACGCTCGTCTAAAGAAATAACAATATTACATATGTAAGCTGTATAAATATGTAAGCTTCTTACGATTTATAATATTTCAACAGAGTTCTTAGCGGTAATTTGCCTATTAAAAAATATAGAGAGTGCCAGGTATTATTAAACAGAATAAGACTTGAATAAGATTATCAAGTTCCGAGCTTTAGTAAATGTTTGAGTAACCGAAATATTAAAAGAACATAAGCCTCAACTAACTGCATCAATAGATTTATTGACTATTTGAAAACAGTTCTAATATAATAATGATGAAAGCTCATTTATAGAAAAATTTGTGGCAAGTAAAATGTAGAGTATTAGTAGTACAAAAAAGACTGATCTGAGCATTTAATTTGCTTAGTTTTTATAGGATTTAAAGGGTTTTAAATAGGCTTAAATACCAATAAATATTTTAAAAATATATAAAACTCAGTTTCGTCTCTTAATTGCTTCTTCTCCACTTTGAAATGCACATACATATATCATTTTGTGTGACGTTTTTTCCGGAGAGAAAGCAAGAAGTCTTTCTCCTAACTACTATTTGCCTGCTCAATTCTTTGAATCCCTTGCAATTAGCGACATCACAATAAATAGATACTTATTAGGCGCTAGACAAACGGACAACCGTCAATTAATTAAACTAAGTCCCTCGATCTCTGTCATGGCCACTTTCTTATAGGTTCAGTGTTTTGGGCACTCGCTCACGCCCACAGTACGGTCTAACGATCTGGTGACACTACGACCTGTGTGCAGCGGGGTCAGCGCGATCCGTGCAGCTAAGCCCGGTCCGGCTATCGATCAAGCGGATTACTTTCACGCAGGCTCATGCAGTTGAGTGCCTTCCGTTCAGCTAGGAGCAAGTAGCTCGAGTGTCGAACCTGTTTTCGGTTTCAAGTGCGGGGCAATACATATTTTTCGAGACTTACATCAAATTGACTAATTTCGCTGCGGCAGCGCAGTCGGCTTCGCAGTAGCTGCATTTGAAATGCACCTACAAATTTTTACCTGTCACTCAGCCGGCGGCATCTCCATCTCGCTCTTCTGTCAGTCGTCTCGCATGCACACGGCGTCTGTGTGAAGGCAACGCCTGCAAGTGACACTCGAAGGAAGAGAGTAGGCAGACAGACGTACGAACGGACGGACGGACGGACGGACGGACTGCCTTGCCTGCCCATTGATGAAATTGACTTTTTATGTTGTTGCCGTTGACTTCTCTTCGAATTTGCGTGGCGCTGCTCTCGGCCACCGCTGCTGCTGCTGTCTCAGTCGAAGTTGGCGTCGGCGTCAACTGAAACTGGATTTTTGGGATTAAGTTTTTGTTTACTTTGAGGCGTTTTTTAGTTTGTTTGCACGCCTCAAGGAAGTCGGTTCGTTGTGCTCGCGTTCCGCAACAACAGTCACAACAATCACAACAATAAACAAAAAAAGCAACAATTACTCAAATCTGTTAAGTGCTCGTAACTGGATTAATACGAAAAATTTATTGCCTTATTAGCTGCATTAATCAAAAGGCTTACAACAAAGCCCATTAAATACTCAATCCATCGATCGATCCGTATAAATAATAATAATAAATGTAACCAAATCAGGCAGTTCCAAGTCCGTTGCAATTAATTTCGTATTTTTGCCTCTGTGTGATACAATTTGAACTTGAATTCCGCGCCACCATAAATCAAACCTTAAACAAGCTGCCAAACAGAAAATCGTGCAAAAAATCAAACCAATAAATTATGGGAATTTTGCTAAGTGATGGCGATGTAAGTTTAGCTTTTCATATTCTATACCATTCACATACTCGAATACACGTTTTATTTCCCATCTATAAATCATAATTTAATTAAACTGGTATTTAAATTCTAGAAATGTATATGCTTGGGCTAAATGATATAGCTAGTTGTAGAAACTAATTGGCAAATTATGAACTGGATCTATTTACGTTAATTGTTTTACGACTTCTCTAATCAAAATGCTAAGATAAAAACAAATTGAATAGATGAGAGTTCGATTAATACACTGTCAACTAATCTTTTTGTTTATACTTTTGCTTCCTTGATATTCCTTGATAAATCAAAACTATAAAATTGTATCCAACTTACCAGAGACGTTGATGGCATTTTTAATATATTAAATATTTCACTCTTGTTTTTTTTTCTATTACTTAATTACCAATATTTATACAAAATTGAAAATATTAATTAACAATATGTAATTATAAAAAATTGGACCCTTCTTGTTTTAACATAGTATATCATTAAGCAATCGGCCCACCTTTTGGCATATAAATAACATCGAACAAACGTTTACAGGAAAACTAAACTCTATGATCTTCAGTTGACATCCGCTAGTTAGAGTTATGAGAAAGCAACGATCCATGAATGAGTCAAGTGTGTGTAGCTGAAGCAGGGGAATAAGGGGGAAGAGAATTACCTAAAACAGGATCCACTTGGCATAGACCTGGCTGACTGGCGCTGCCGGCCACTGAGCGAGCGCACCCGGTTTCAACTTAGCCTAAGCCGAGAGACTTATAAAAAACCACTTAAAGCGCCGCTTTAATCCTAAGTGTTACCGAACCCCTCCTCGCTGTTGTCTTGTTTGTTTTTTTCTTCTGTTATTTTTTTGGTTTTATTCCTACACTTGGCCGCCGCTCAAGTGGTTTTCTCTGTTTGTTTTTATTCCTTCATTTGCAGTGACAAATTATTAACGTTCTACTCATCGTCCTCTTCGGCGTCGCGACCTGCTGATCCTCGATTTGTGGCTCATTTTTAGTAAATTGATTTTTTATTGCTCTTTATTTGAATTCTCTCCACCTTCAGTCTTCTGCTCCGTCTTATTTTATTTTTTTTTCAGTTTTGTTTTTCTGCTCGCATTTTAATAAGCGCCTCTGCAGTCACTTCGAAATGCCTGCGATCGCGCACTGATCCCATTCGGATCTCGATCCTGGCTATTCGAAGCTGCAACATGTTGACAATTTTTCGTGTGGTCGCCGCTCCTTTGATGAAGCACCGCTTCGAGTATCGCCAATGGACGGCGCTCTCTTTGATCGACTGATCTTCTAAAGGGAGCGACGTCATTATGCACGCGTGGTCAACTCTTTGATGGCTCGAATTCTCGTTGTTCTTGTTATTCTGTTCTTCTGCCCTTAAATGCGTTTGTGGAACGCTGCACATTTCGTTGGCATTTGGAGAATTGTGTTAAAATGTGCGTCACTTGATCTTGTGGCTAATGAAAAGAAGTGTTGCAAACGGCTTTCTTTAACCTTCTTGAATTAGATAGAAATAATTAAGAAGCAAACTAAAAACTAGCGCATTGTATGTGTAGATAAAATGTATTAGATTTAGCCATCAACCCATTTTAGTTAACTTATTCTGTTACAAATCACAATTTTTAGAAATTTCTTTATATTTATAAATTCTGCTTTTGCAAAAAAGTTTTTAATCAAAACTTTTTTTGATGCAAGAAAACAGAAATTGCCGCCGGCTACAAATGTTTCTGTAGTGGCCATTTTCTCATGTTAAGTAATATGTTATATAAAGTCCAATTGAGATGTTTATGAAAAATGATATAAGATTTACTTCGCGATGGCATCTAAATTCTCATACCCTCGGACCAGCAGCCATATGTGGCTTGATTTGTGGAATCAGCGAAGATTGAAAGCGCAAACTGAAATTAAATTTTCATACATCATCGCATTAATATTCTGGGATAAGATAAAGACGTCAAATGTGTTTCGGTATATGCATATATATATATCTATATATAAATAAGTACAGCAAATATATGAAATTGGCGCCTTAATTGATTTTGATGTGAAAAACAGATTTCTATATTTGTTTGCCTTTTGGTTATTGAACCTTTTGTAAAGCAACAATAACAATAACAAAAGTGAAAGACTATGCGGAAAATGTATTGAAAATCAGCCAACGGCACTTGAAGACATTTCATGTGGTGCAAAAATGTTGAATGTTGCATTTGTTTGAAGTAAAATGTTCTTTTAAGAAATAACTTGTAAAGCTCTACAAAATGGGACGAAAGATTTTGGAACTTTGGAGGTGATGAGGGAAATTATCTTTTGGTTTTGAACTGTAATTGAAATAAAATTATAATTGTTTCGAAATAAATTGAAATGCTAAAAAGTTGAGAGTGGTCCAAATAGTATGAATAGTATAGTAAGAAACTGAAAAGCTGGCTTTTATGTTCAAGCCTTGTTCGAACGACCTCTCTTATTCTCTTCCTCTTACAATCTCGTAAACATAAAATTTAGCAATGCGAATTCTCATTCAGTAACAGCATTGTGCAACAATTTGTTAAGCTTTAAGTTCGTTAAAAGTTGCAATAAATTTGTAGACTCGTATACATGGCTTTCCAAACTGACCCCCAACTTCTCTGTTTAGCTATGGTAATTAGTTTAGTTGTCTGTGCTATTTAAAGACTCTCAAAATAGTTAAAGCTATAGTGCTGTTAAAACTTCTACACGCAAACAATCAAGACACACCCTAACCGGTTTTTGTGCCAATAAAATTATGATTAATATTATTGATAATGGATATAATGCATCCCATATAATACTTATGGCCATCATTAAGAAAAACTACGTCGAATGCCCACGTACATATAGCATATATATATATGTTAATGTTGATATATATTTGAAAAGAAAAAACTGAGCAGCCTACGCATGCTTACCACATGAAACTCAGTTGTAAGTGCTGCAAATGCACAAAGATACAAAGACGAGTCACAAAAGATGCAGCGCGCCATTCATTTAAGATGAGATGGACTGAAAGGGCGCCGTTGAGAAAACGAGTTCTGAGAGGTAGAGAGAGGGTTCGAAAGAGAGAGAGAGAGAGAGAGAGCGCATTGTGTGTGTGTGTTGCCGGCAGAGGGAGCCCAGCAGAGCTAAAAGAACTGCAGCAAGAAGCAGCAACCAAAATGGCTACTCGCAACGGGGTGTCGCCCAATGGCAGCTGCACCTGGGAGACCAAGCACAGCAAAGAGCGAGGGAGTGGCATTGAGTTAGAGAAAAAGCCAGTTGGCCCGGCAGTTGATAGAGAGTGAGAGATAGGAAGAAAGAGTGAGCAAGAAAGAAGCTGAGAAGGAGAGGAGTATTTATTACTTTGATCTAATTTGTTGTTTTTTGTGGGCATCTGTTTTGCAGTCGACCTCGGATCAACAATCAACGCGTGACTATCCGCAGTTGAGCGGCGACTACCACAACGTGCAGCTGCAGGTGGCCGCCGTCGCTGCCAGCTCCAAGATGTATCACAGCAGCAGCGCTGCTGCGGCTGCCGCCTATACGGATTTGGCTGCAGCTGGAGGAGCCGCCGGCGTCTCTGGCTATCATCATCAGCAAGCGGTCAATGCGCCCGTCTATGTGCCCTCCAATCGGCAATACAATCACGTGGCGGCGCATTTCGGCAGTGCTGCAGCGGCCCAGAACGCCTGGACAACGGATAGCTTTGGATCGGCGCATGCGCAGCTACCGGCACAGTTCTATACACAAAACGCGGTTATGATGGCACCCTGGCGTAGTGCCTACGATCCAACTGGCTTTCAGCGCTCCTCTCCTTACGAGAGCGCCATGGACTTTCAGTTTGGCGAGGGGCGCGAGTGCGTCAACTGCGGTGCCATCTCCACGCCGCTTTGGAGACGTGACGGCACCGGCCACTATCTCTGCAACGCTTGCGGCCTATATCACAAGATGAACGGCATGAACCGGCCATTGATAAAGCCCAGCAAGCGACTGGTGAGTGCAGTGAGTAGCCACAGCTCCATTGTCAGCCAATGGCCATACTAATCCCTACATGTCTCCAACAGACCGCTACACGTCGCCTAGGACTGTGCTGCACAAACTGTGGCACACGCACGACCACACTCTGGAGACGAAACAACGACGGCGAGCCAGTGTGCAATGCCTGTGGACTCTACTTCAAACTGCACGGCGTCAATCGGCCGCTGGCTATGCGCAAGGACGGCATTCAGACCCGCAAGCGGAAGCCCAAGAAAACAGGCAGCGGCTCCACTGCGGGCTCTAATTCGGGATCGGGCTCAACCACAGAGACCATCAAGGAGTGCAAGGAGGAGCATGGTAAGCAAAGCAAACAAAAGTGTTTTACACTGAAGCACAGCCAATGAGTAGAAAGTACATAATGTCCGGACCATCAAGGTGCTAGTATTTTTTAGAAAGTCTTGTTCTACGCCTATGTTGGACTTTGATTGACTTGAATGAAACCCCCTTCCACCAGACCTAATACAAGCCTAAAGCTTTCACTTAGACCAAAAAGACCGAGGCTAGCTTCTGTAGTTCTAGAACTCTATCTTTCTCTACTGCAAGACCAAATTGAATTATTGATTACTTGAGCTTATGGGTCAGAAATATATATTTATATATATCTAATTGCTTATTTCGCTTTCTCCGTGCCTTGCAGATCTCAAGCCCACGCTTAGCCTGGAACGCCACAGTCTGAGCAAGCTTCACACGGATATGAAGACCAGCAGCCTTATGGGGCAGCACCTTAGCCAGCAGCCGCAGCAGCAGCCGGTGGCGTCGCATCAGCAATGCTTTCCACATTATGCCCTGCAGCAACAGCAGCAACAGCAGCAGCAGCAACAACAGCAGCAACAACAGCAGCAGCAGCAACAACACCAGCATCAGCAACTCGGCCACCAATCGCAATTAAGTGCAAGGCAGTTGCATGCAGCCAGCTCGCAGTTGTATACACCCGGCAGCAGTTCCGCTGCCTCTGCGTATACGACGCACAGCAGTAATGCGGCAGACACGCCCACACTAAGCAACGGCACGCCCTCGCCGCACTATCAACACCATCATTTGACCAGCAGCTCGCATGGCCACCATGCCACAGCAGCGCATCATCATCTACACGCAGCAGCAGCAGCTGCGGCATACGGCGTGAAGACAGAGGCAAGTGCCACCAATTATGACTATGTGAACAACTGTTACTTTGGCGCCTCGTTTGGTGCCTTGGGCGGTGCTGCCTCCTCGGCAATGGCCGGTGGGGCGAGCGGCGATCTGGCCGGGTATCATCATCAGCACAATGTCATCCAGGCAGCCAAGCTGATGGCCACATCCTGAACGAAAGCGATCTCTGTGATCTCTTACCCACACAGCGCACAGCAGACACCATCGTTGGAGCTTCGTTGGAATCATATTGAAAAGACTTTGAATTAGGTTTAAATCAGTTGCAATTAGTTCTTTTATGTAATGCCTGTAAATAACTGCACGAAAGTTTTGTACAAATATTTGTTTATAGCTTCGTTCCGTTTCATTTAAGTATCCAAATAGACTAAGGTTTAGCTATTATGTAACAATTGTAAAGTGTTTGCATTATTCTCTGTCTCTAATTAGCCTAAATTATCCATATGAAACATAAAGCACATCCAATCATAGATCATTTAGCTATACGATTAGTATATTACGCATAAGTCCTTGCATATTACCATTTAAATAAAAATTAACTTAAATATATATTCGCTCTGGGAATTGTGTTTTATTGCGATCAACTACGATATGATCACATTTGCCAGCGTTAATGTTGAGTATATTTTAATGTGCGCTGAAAAGTATGTTTCACAAAAAATCATACGACTTCTGGGGCCTCTTCGAAGTATGCACAAAAATAAATAGAAATATTTTAGGTTTCAATAAATCAAAAAAATACTAATAAAAGCTTTTGTTATGCTATATACTCGTGTATCATTTTTTGACTATATATTTATAATTATTACAATCATTATATTAAAAGTCATGTGCAAAATATTTGTGAAAATTACAAAAATTTCAAAATTTCTCGTTTCATAAATCAATTTTATTTGCCATGTATTTTCAATAATTAAATCAAATAAAATAGTTGATATACTGATTATTATTACATATTAAATATTATATATTATATACTATGTTCCCTAATTTTTTGAATATTTTATGTATTCCAGCTTTAACACAGAAAAAATATTTATAAATAGCTCGCTAAAAGAAATTTTCTTCGAATGTCTCTCATACATAAATCCTTTCAAAGTCAATTTATTTATATCATAATATTATATTAAAAACGAGCGTTTAGTATTTAGTACAATCTTGCATTTTAGGTTATTTAGGAAAATCCCATCGAAATCGTTTAATATTGTAAAAAAGAAGCAAAAACATTTTACACTATGCTTTATGACGCTTTAATCGGTCAATGTCGCCTCTATAAGTCGACGGTACTTCAGATTACATTGCAGTCACACACATTGCATATAAATAACTAATTAAAGTGGAATCAGGTGAAGCTATTGAACCCAAGTAAACATGTGCTTTGCCTAAGTGTATTTGGGTTTGTTTGGACTTACTTACATCTTCATCGGTTCGTTTATAGTGAGTATTATGTGAGTAGGTCAATTTGGCATTGCAAAAATAAGGGAGCAAGTCGAAAAGTTACGTGAATAGCTATGCAGCTGTTAGCTGAAATATAAGAATATTCGTCAACAAGCAAAACAGAAACAGAAAAGCTTAAAGAGAATTAAAAATAAAATATGTAAATTTGTTAAAACATCAATAAAGTAAGTCTAACTGGTAGCTGTTCTGGTATATTAAAAAAAAGATCTTTATATTATATATATTTATTTAAATGTAAAAGCAGAACCAAGACTCAAGGCAGCAACTCGGTTCACATCATACAGACAGCCAGGGACATGTTTTAGTCATAAAGAAAAGTTATATAATAAACGGGATTATTTTTATTTATATATTTTACTTCGGTTCCCGTGAGCTTAATGCCATATTCGTTGGGGCAGTCGGAGAGGAAGCGACAATAAATGCTAGCAGCAATAACGCAACGGAGGCTGTACACAAAAATAAAAACAAAATTAATAAAAAATAGTTTTTTATTTTTGTTACAACAGTCGGTTAATTTGGTAATTTCCGCACGCGATGAAGTATGTAAAGAGCAGAGAAGAGATGCTGATATAATGGTGAATGTTTGGGAAAGAAACGTATATATAAACTAGCCTCTCTACTGTCGCAATCGCAACCTTGCCAGGGGGTCTGGGTCTGCACATGCAACAATATAATTAGTGAAAAAGAAAAAAGTCGCACTCACACACACAGTATATGCATATTAATGCTTTTTTAAACGACAACCTTTTATCTTAAGCATCGGCAGAGATAAAGCCAAATGATCGCGCACAATATGGGTAATGCTAATGTGAAGTGACTGCATAACAAAAGACTTGCAACTGGACGCAGAGGCGATGAAGCACAGACAGCCAACCGAGCTAAATTGCAACCAAGCTAAACCAACAGCCATGACAATGAAGCCCCTTTGCTGCGTTGTATGCGTAATACCAGAAGTAGTCAACAGGTGAACAACTTCAGTGAAGCTGTTCCAGGGCCCAGGCGGCAAAAGCAAGTGGAGCGGGCGGACGAGCGACAGTGTGTGGCGCAATGGAAACAACGAAGAAAACAAGTTGGTGGCGTATACGCAATGAACGAAAGTACGATCCAAAACAAAATAAAAATCCATATATCAAAGCAACAAATGCTTGATTAAATGCATATCTGGTTGAGGCCCAAGTGACTCGACTACAGTCATATTAGCAGAGATATGGGACTCACGATAATTATATGTTGATAAAAATATAGAAAATTATATTATATAATTATTATATAATTATATAATTATATATTAGTTAAATGAACTGAACAAAAAATATATAATATAATAATAAAATAAACTTGATATCATTTTTGCTGTTGCTGATCATAAACCAATCAAGCATTTAACCAACTGCAGGGCATTAAAGTTATTTAGCGACATTTCTTCATTGTCGTCATTTGCAACGATCAGTTGGAAAGTGGGTGTAAGCGCTTGTTAGCGGTTGTAAGCGGGAGTAAACGGGTGTGTCTCGGAGCTAGAGTACGATTTCAAGTTTTGGTTACTACTTTGGGCTGCTGCTGCAGCAACGGGTTGCGGCATCTTTAGGACAAGCGCAAATGTAAACAAAAAGTATTCGAAAAGTGGTAGCGCACACACACATACACACTCAAAACTAATGTCATGGTTTCGTACAACATTTCACGTGGCTGCCGCAGCAATTCGGTTTGAAACGCCGTCGACAACGGTCGCGCACAACGGACAAATTTTTCAAATCTCGATTACGCGAGCTGCCCAATAAAAGAAGCTGTTTAAACAAGGATATTTAGTGGTCAGACATGTTTTACACAGCGAGTTGGAGCTTATGTGTTATCATTTATCTAATACCAAGTGCAAATGCCTATACACGGGAAATATTAAACAATAAACCGCCACTGCAGGAGAGACGTAAGTTTGCCAAAAATGGAATAAAGCTTGAATCGGTATTCACTCAAAACAAGAAATAAACAAAATTACTTCGAGGCCGGAAGTGATAAATCCAAAATATTTTGGGTATAATATATTATTTGCAACCAAAATTAAACAGAAAATTAAAACTTATAAATTATAATAATAAAAATAGCAAAAATAACAAATCAAGAATATTTTTGTATTTAAAAAAAAAAAATATATATATATATGTATAAATGTATATTAAAAAAGAAAACAAATCTAGCTTATAAGTTCGTAATATATCTTTTATATTTGCCTTTCGTTTAACTAGTCGAACATTAAAGAATTATTTTAAAGCTGATAACTTGTATTCATATTATGGGTATATACATTTTTAATTAACTATCAAAGCTCTCTTAAATATTCCTGTCAGATTTTAAAATAAATTCGTATGATTACTCATATTTTTATTATTTATATAAGAATGCTAAAGACTACTTAAAATCAATATGTATTTTAATTAAATATTCATTTAAGACCAACGTACATTAACAAGTTATATTCTTCTAAGTAAGCAGAACCGAATCTAATAATATTCGAACGCATTTTTATATTGCTTTGCCCAGCGTCCTGGCTACAGACCTGTAAGCGATCTAGTCCCAATGAGAACAAATGTTTCCGAAAACTGTTCGAGGGCTGCTTTCCAGCTTTGGCTGCCGGAATACCAGAGATTGGAGTGAAGAGCTTCGAGCCATTAAACATTGACCAGGTGTCCGTTTCGAAGGGCAGCGGCAATTTAGTTCTGGCCGGCGGCTTTCAGAATCTAGTCATACGCGGACCCTCCAATGCGACAGTGCGCAGTGCCAGGTAACTAAATTGAAATTAATACTCTTATTCGTATGTTTAGTGTATATCGAATGCTTATATATTCTGCTTAGCTTGGATCTGGCGCGACGGCAGCTAAACTTTGAGTTGGAACTGCCGCGGCTGCGAATAAGAGCCAAATACAATCTGAAGGGCAACATATTGTTGCTGCCTCTGGTTGGCAATGGCGATGTGGCTATGGCCTTAAAGAATGTGCATACGGCCGTCTATACGAAGATATCTCTGCATAACGAAACCCAAACTGGCGATGAGATTATACACATTGATGAGATGAAAGTCAGCTTTCAGGTGGGCGCCATGCGTATTCACCTAAAGAATCTATTCAATGGCAATGAGATTTTGGCCGCGTCTATTAATGCATTTCTCAATCAAAACGGTAACGAAGTTATAGCAGAGCTGCGCCCCGATCTGGAGCTGGGACTAGCCGATATTTTTCACGGCCTGTGGAACAATGTCTTCTCAAAGATGCCCACCAAGCTGTGGCTGCTCTGAGAGTGATTGCCGTGAAATGAGTTACGTAGATTGTGTTATAAATATAATATATATATTTGAATATTCGTATTTAAATATATATATCATATTAAAATAATATATAATTTATTTTTTGCATTCATTTTTGTTACTGCCTGTAGTTATATGTTTCTACTGCCTACCTATGATTAAATCTATACTCTATTTAAATTTAAAATTGAACCTTCACATTTTCAAAGAAGGCAGAAGCTCATCGTAGCTGAAAGCTTCGAACAATTTGTCTATGGATGCGCGTAGAATATCCACCAATGCTTTGATCATCAGTGGACGCACTTCGTCCGACAGGGATTTCCAGTTCTCGTTGAGAAAATCGTTCATACGTTGTCCGAGCGCCTTGTCGCCATTAAAAAGATTATCCAGCTGCATATGAACATTTTCGAGTTCGTATTTGACCTCTATGTCTTTGATTCGTAAATGGATGGCGCCATTCTTCGTGTACTCCTCGCCAAACAACTCGGTGGCCATTGTGATATTCGCTAGTAAATTCAAATGTATTAGAAACAGTTAACATTACAATTGTTTGATGTAACATACTCAGCTCGACTTCACAGTTTCCATCTCCGAGCATAGGCATCATCATGATCTTGCCTTTTATGCTATATTCTGATTCCAGCTTTAGTGTGGGAAATGTAATCGCTAGCGCGAACTTCAACTGGCTGGGAACGATGGATAGATTATGTAGCGTATGCTTGGATATGCCCGATATCTTAACATTCTTGTACACCGAATGCAAATAAATGGCTCCGGAATCCTGATCCATTTTAATCTCGGGAATACGCAGCGGCTCCATGGGCGGTATATATAGCTCGGGTATGCCATCCATTAAACGCGGCTCCAGTGATTCGAAGGACTCACGAGCACAGGTATTCAAGTCCGGTGAGTCGCGATAGCAAACCTTGAGAAACCCAGCTGCATACGACTTCAATCACTATGTATGCAATACGTATATATACTAGATACTTACGTAATTTACTCGACTTTCCTTTCGGCTTAGCTAGCGTTTGGATTACCAGGCCCACCAGCAATAGCGTAATGAATACTTTACTTTCCATTTGTCGACTGCGTTGATTGCTGTACGTGTACCTCTCACTGGTCTCGAGCGTGTTCTGTGGATTTCAGCCACTGTTCCACTGTTTTTATAGCTGAGAACAACTGGCCAAAAGCTGACGCATTCAATTCTGCCAGACTGCAATTTTCCGTGACATTGCAATCCTAAGCAAATTTGCAAAGCCGTACCAACACAGATGTTTTCCGATCGAGTTGCCCTTATGTACTTCTTAATAACGCTTAGTTTTAAATTATTTAGTAGCAGTTTCATTAACATAAACATATAAGTATATAAGACAGTATAATATATAATAAAATTAAACATAAGATGAAATCAGTTATTTAATATAACATTCGTTTCTTCAATTTCTGTAGATGCAACTCCTAAACTGGATAAGTATTTATATATATATATATATATATATATATATATATAAATAAAATTATATAAATTAATTAAACAATCAAATCCTACATTACATTTAAAAGTAGCTTGATACACAGCCAGTTCTTTTCTGAGAAACTTCTGATATATACAAATCCAAACAGACCTTCAGCTTATTATTATAATAGAAATTTCTGTGCGCCCTGTGGAGAAATATAATTAATTCGAGAATATCATGTTTCATAAAAAAATCAATCAAAAAAAACAAAGGAATATCTAAGGCATAAACATAATAATATATATTTTTGTAAAACAAATATGATGAGTTGAATTAAATCTTTAAGTAAATACTTAATCCACATTATAAAAAGTAAACAGAAACATTAACATAAAACGCATTATACACGTAATTAAATAGTGAAGTAATTTAACGTTGCTTTACAAAAGCAATAACAGCGAAAAACATAATTGATTAAATTTTAAGCTGTAAAAAATAGCTCCGAGCTTACAGTCATAAAATGCTAAATTAAAGTGATAAAACAATATATTCACTAAATATCAAGCAGTAATCTGGAAGGCATTCAAATTTAATTGTGTTCTATGTCCATTTCATGATCCATTCTGAAAAAATACATTAAAGAAATTAGTCGGTGAAAAACATAATCTCGAATTTAATTTACGCACAATTGGCTGATGGCCATCGCCTGGGAGATAATATTATCGGTGGACAAACTATCGAAAGGATCCAAACTAGCTGGTGCTTGAATATTATCGACATGAAAACTCATCCGGCTCATCGCATTATTCAGCTGAAATATGGCCGGCGGTGGCAACATTTCCAATTCCAGTTGCAACAACTCCCCCTGAACAGCATTTAGATTTTCTACGGCATTTTGAGTAACACTTGCAATCTTTCTAAAGCGAAAATGTGTCCCATTTATGGTCATGCGTAATTGTTTTATGCTTTCATCCGTGAGAAAGGCATAGCGAGCTTGAGCAAATTCAATGGAAATATTTTGCATATCTGAGCAAGTTGTGGTATCGGCACCGAGAAGCAGCTGAAAAGTCTTGCTGTAACAATGATAAGAATTTTTGAATGCTGGTGTTAATAAAACTAATAAAAATAACTTCTACGTACATCTTGTAAATATCAGTCTTTAGCATCTTGTCATTGATCTCTTCACTGGCCTTTATTGCATCTCTCCGTACTGTACGCAATGTGGATTCATAATGATGGACGATGCTTTCAATGGAATTGACGATTTCACCATGTTTTCGGACAACATTCATCAATTTGGATTGCCATTCTTGGTTATCAGCCTACAAGAGTTTGAGTATTAAAAATCTAAAATAAACTTTTTTTTTGCTACTTACCAATTGAAATTTGTTCTGCTCTTTTGCAGCAGCTATCAGAGCATGGAACTGTTCTATGACACCACAGCTTTTGTCCTTTTGCCTTTCTAAATTTTTAATGATGGTCTGACATTCGAGAATTTCGTGTTCCAGAGTGAGGGCGTATTCTTTACACCCACAAAGCAGCATTTTAACGAGTGCTTGCTCTGTGCTAAGCATATAATGCATTTCCAATATGATACGCCTAGCCAACCACTTTTCTAACTTAATATCACATTTGCTAAGGAAATGCTGTAGCATATCGGGAATATTTGGTGTGGGCGGCTCAAATTTTAACTTTTCCATTACGTTAAAAATGTAGAGCATGACTGGTGGATTCCGCGATTCCTCGCTAGTATCCCGCCAATCGTCCACATAGAGATCCATGGGTGTGGTTTGTGCTGTCAGACGCTTGTGTGGGTGACCCGTAGGTAGCACAAAATAAATCGTATTTATTTCAAATTTGGTGTCTCGTTCAATTAGCTTTGCCAATTGCTGCAATGTCATGTCGGGCGTCAATTCGTATTCAAGAAGTTTATAAATACTCGCAGCAAAAACTGTCAGCACCTTCGTCTGCAGCATACGATCGATCTGTGTGAAAATTGCAGGTCCTGTAACTCCATCTTGTACTTCATCAGTTGCCGCTAAGCCGCCGCGCTTTGAATGATTGTAGTCGAACGCTAGGCGCAGCCACTTTACAAATTTCGCCAACCACGGTTGGCTCAAATGGTGGCCGATCGGAATATTGGTATGAAAGAGGAAGCGATTCGGGTTCTTCCAATCCTCTGTTATGGCAATACAATCACGTTTCTTTTGTTCAATATTGATATGAATATTGAAAACTGTTTGGTGGGGTATGAAAGGCAATTCACCAGTTGCCACCTCGTAAGCAATCACACCCATTGACCAGTAGTCCACCGTCTCCTTGTACTTGCCTGTGTCCACCACCTCGGGTGCATAATAATGCCTTGTGCCAACGATGCTTTGCTGGATCGTCTTCTCTGGCGTATCGCGTGCCAGGCCAAAATCAGTTAGCTTGAAAATTTTGCGACCATTGCCCGAACGATGTATTACTATATTATCTGGCTTTAGATCACGATGACAGATTTTGCAGTTGCTGTGTAAAAAGTCTATCGCTTGTCGAAGAGCAAACAAAATCTCGCGTACCTCAAATTCTGGCAGGCCTAAAATAATTCAAATATTTGTACTAAAATCTAATCGGTTATAAAACCCAAGTGATATTCTGTAATCATTGTTTTTTATAGATTGCAACCCAGAAAGTTACTCCGATATTTTCTTAGCTGACTTGACTTAGCTGTTTAATGGATTTGTATTAAATATTTTTTTATGAACTTTCAAATAAAACCACTAAAAATTATCAGATTTAAAATTTAAAACAAAAAAAATAATTATTGAAAATCATTTGACATTAGACGTATAATGTCGTTTAGGGAATTGTGGAATCTGGAAATTAATTAAGCTGTTTACAAAACTATCATTCCTGCTCACCGTTTGCATTTTGAGGCTTTTCCAAAAGTTTTCGTACATCCCCTCCATTACAATACTCGAGTATTATAACTGGCAGGCTCCAAATGTGATTTCCATTCAAGTACGCGACAAATGACTTAGAATCGTTGCCCAGTTCAATGCCGGCAACAATGAAGGGTTTATTAAATTTGCGCGACCATTCAAATTCCTGAAGCCAGCGATTTTTCATAGTTTCCTGCTGATCAACGCTTATCTTATGCTGTATGTCATGCTTTATGTGCTTAGTGGCTGTTTAAAAAAAAAAAACAAACATTTCTTAAATCATTTCAATTTGAGATTGGACGCCAAATTAAACGGAATCAAAATCTGTTTTTTTATTCATAACGTTTGGTGTAGATATGTATTTTTACTTACATTCAGCTCACACACACAAAGACAATTTAAAGTAAACAAACAACTTCTTGAATCAGCAAATTCTAAGAATTGGCTTGCACTTCTATGTATGTATGCATATTAGGGCATTCGTGTATATATATGTATATATATATAAATATATATATAGAAAACTATACTATATATGTTTTACGCAGCACGTAGTCATGTTTTAATTGCATACCTATTTCCTGGTTTGTTCTGCGGTTTTTCCAATGCCGCACTTCGCCAAAGCCACCTTGTCCCAGATGTCCTTTTAGCTCCCACCCATCAACACACGACGAGTTTGAAGGCATGCCGGTAGTTTTTATCATATAAATTACTAAAAATTTAAAGACTTCTTCGAAAATATATTAATAGCAACAACCCATTTCCAGCAGGTTAAGATCGATAGGCGTCACTTCGACTAATATTTTAACAATTATATCGATTGTATCTAGAGACGGGCGATATTCAAAATTAAGTGTTACAGTGTTGAGGGCTCAAGTGAAATGATTCTGAATCACAAGATAATGAAATGAGTAAATAGAAATGCATATGATTAAAAACGTGTATTTATTTTTAGCATAGATAATTAAATTGAGTAAAATTTAAATTATTTTTCTGTTAGTAAATTCATTAAAAATATTTTTAAAATGTTATAATTTACTGTAAGATGCAAATAATTGTTTAGTAAAAGCGGAAAACTTGGTTTATAATATTTTGTAGACAAACATTACATATATATAGAGCGTGTCCGTTTTGTATGGCATACTCCTACTACATTTGTGTAAGTGTTACTTAGGAGTAACAACGAATGAACGAAGTGACTAATACACGATAATTAATTCACGTGTTATTGCTCATCTCTAAAAAGTAGGCCAACAGGTTGTAAACAAAAATTGTTTATTCTTAAATAATTATTTATGAATAAAAGTTACCCTTTAAAGTACACGTTTGTGTTAAAATGCGTTTTCACATGAACGGCAGCAGTGACGAAAATGATATTGTAACTGCGACAGCCAGTGCTGAGCACATTCGCAAGTTTGTATTTGGAGGTGGCGCCGATGCACCCGAGGATCGCTTGGAAATCAAAATACCTGAGGTACATAAAAAATTACCTAAAGTGTTGCCAAGAACATCTATTATTCAATTAAACCAATGTTTAAGTTTAGATCCTGCAGGGAGCTTACTCATTCTATACCTGGCCTTGTGCTCCAATTCTCGCCCATTTTCTGTGGGAACGACGGCAAACACTTATGTGCAAGCGGATACTGGAACTGGGAGCTGGAACTGCACTGCCCGGTATAGTGGCCGCCAAGTGCGGTGCCCGGGTGGTACTCAGCGACAATTGCATTCTTCCCAAATCCCTAGCACACATACAGAAGTCCTGCCTCACCAATCAACTGCAACCAGGTGTGGACATTGATGTCGTTGGTCTCAGTTGGGGACTGTTATTGAACAGCGTATTTCGGCTGCCTGTTCTGGACTTAATCATAGCTGCTGATTGCTTCTATGATCCCAGCGTCTTTGAGGACATAATTGTTACGGTGGCGTTCCTTTTAGAGCGAAATCGTGGTGCTAAATTCATATTCACCTACCAGGAACGAAGCGCGGATTGGTGCATCGAAGCATTGCTCAAGAAATGGAAGCTGCATGCTTCGACCATCAATATGGATGATATTGGTAAGCAGTCCGGAGTGGATTTGCTTGAATTTATGGGTGGACATACGATACACCTGCTGGAGATAACACTAAACGAACCGGAGTAATAAATAAAGAAGCAAAAAACAAAAAATCAACTAAAAGTTCTTCATATTGTTCTTTACAGTTATTTATAACAGAGCTGCTCCTCCATTTAGCAGAGCACTGCTGTAAGTAAATGCGCCACTGTCATTCACACTAAAACGTCCAACAGTATTTCACAGACAGCGAGCGTCGCTGTCGCCGTTTAAAAGTCGTGCACAGTTTTATTATTTATTTTCAAGACGTACAATAAAATATATTATTTTGTAAAATAGTGGGATAAAGCATTAAAAGGTTGGTTGGTATAAAGTATTGTTGTTACCGCACCAGCTTGGAAATTCGTTTTCGCTTAGTGTCGTACAAAGCCGTGTGTCAGTGGCTTTTTGTGTGTGTGTGGGTTTGTGCGAGTATGTGTATGTGTATTGGCTTGCCTTCTATGCGCCTGTGAAAAATCGAAGTTATTGCATTACGTTGCGCCAGCTGCCCAGCTGTGTGCGCCCTATGGGATTTTGCTTTACGTTAATGGTGAGTGCTGCAATGGAATTTAATAAGGCTCATATGAAAGCAGATTTGCTGTTGTTTTGCTGTTGCTGTTGTGGGCGTTAATTGTAGCTTGTTGTATAGGGCAATATAATTTGAGCTACTTTAAATTAATAAAACTAAATTTAATTAGCTGTGAAAAGAAACGGTAAGCGACGGCATTTTGTTGACGCACGACGCTTTTTGAGAAACATTTGCTGTTATGATTGATCCGTTAATTCGAAAATATGAGAGAGTGAGCAAGCGTCACTCAAGAGCAAACTGTGAAACAAGCGAAATCCACTGCATGGCTCCGGTCGCCGAAAAGGGTAAAAGGCATTGACGTCGTTTTTCTCGTATGCGTATTGCGATTGTTAAATTAAAAAATGTATGTAAGCTGTAAAGCTGTAAGCATTAATGAAGAAACATTCTAAATATGATAAAATTAACTATAGCTATGTTTTCGTTGCATCTCCAAGTAGCGTTTCGGCCATATCCTAAGAAAAATATAAATATAATTCAAATTTATAAAAAAAAATTTAATAGTCTGCAAGAAAAAACTGTAGGCGACGGTATGTAGTTGACGCATGACGCTTTTTAAGAAACATATGATTGATCCGTTAATTCGAAACCGCGAGCGTTCCACTAGGTAATACTCTCGTAGCAAGAACAGAGTGCGATGAAACGAGAGAAAGATTCGGCTTGGCGACGCTCGCCGACAAAGAGTAAACTACATTCACGACCGTTAAATACTCTACGGTATCTATAGTTGCGTGTCTGTGCATCGAAAGGTTTTATTTATTAAGGGGAGAAACTGTTATTTTCATGTCTGATTTATGAAATGTCGCGCTGCTGTTTGTTCATATACTAGTGTATGGGTGTATGAGTTCATCATGGGCGCGTACCCGGTGCTCAATCCTTGCGATTGTTAAAAATAAATGTGTTTATGCCATACGAATATCATTTAGCAGCATTAATGAAGCCAAATTCTAAATATGGCCATGCGACCTATTTAAATTTGTCGCTTCTCCAAATAGTGCCTTTCAAGCGTATCGGCTGCATTCCTTGGCTAAGCATTTCATCCACAATTAAGCTCAATTTTAAAACATTAACATCGTCATCAGAGAGCGAAGTTCTGCTCGATTGAGTTAGATTTGCTTTTGATTTTCAATTTCACCTTTGAACAAAACGTTCTCAACAGTATTTTTATATAAATCGATTGTTTCGCTTCCAGCTAGTAGCGTGTTCGTTAAGCTAAACCCTTAACCAAGTCTTGGATATCAACCATACATAGACAGACAGACAGAAATGGCCGAGGATACCGAATACAAAAAACTACCTATTGAAGAGCGTTGCGTACACAAACTGTGGAAGGCACGTGTCGATGGCTACGAGGAGGCAGCTAAAGTTTTTCGCGAACTGGATGACGAGAAGTCGCCCGAGTGGTCAAAATATGCGGGTCTTATCAAGAAAATGGTTGTCGATTCAAATGCTCTTGCTCAGGAAAAGGGTCTGGAGGCAGCTCTTATATTTGTGGAGAACAGCAGCTTAGCTGGGCGCACTGTTGGCGATGTGATGTCGGGCATTGTTCAGAAATGTATTGCCGCACCCAAGACCAAGACAAAGGAACTCTCTGTACAGGTCACACTTATGTATGTGGAGATCGAGAAGCACGAGGCGGTGGTAGAGGAACTCGTAAAGGGGATGGATCATAAAAATCCTAAAATTGTGGCCGCCTGCGTGGCAGCTACAACACAAGCTATGCGAGAATTCGGCTCCAAGGTAATAGGCATTAAGCAATTTATTAAGAAGTTGGCTCCGCTCATGGCCGATCGCGACAAGGCAGTCCGTGACGAAACCAAACAGTTGGCCGTTGAAAGTTATCGCTGGATAGGTGCTGTTATGAAGACACATATTGCTTCATTGCCACAAGTAACCGTTAAGGAGTTGGAGGACGAGTTTGATAAAGTAAAAAGTGAGCGCGCTGAGCCAACCAGGTGAGTAGTTGTCTCTTAAGAAGTCAGTTGTCCACAACTAAATCATATTTCTTCGCAGATACCTTAAATCGCAACAGGAAAAACAGGCAAAGATAGCTGACGAAGCCGCTGCCAGCGTTGAGGATACGTATGATGGTAAAAACGCAGTTTAGCATACATATTTTTAAGTCTACTATATAAACCTATAAGCAGAAAATATAACACCAACCAACCGAAAATCAGTCAAGAAATATTGTAAGCAAGTAATCAAAGAAACATTTATTTTTGGGTCACCGAAGTATGCATTCACGCCCCTACTAGGTATATTTTCGACTTCTTCATAATCATTTCATTTATTACTAGTCGTAGGTCTATGAGTAATCGTCTTGCTTTAACCGTATTTGCTTTTCTAAAATTATTGTTTCACTTTAAACGCTTTTCACCTTATTTTTATTTGTGCTGTTTTATCAACAGGAATAATCAAATGTATTATATTTCAGATACAATATAGTATCATTTTTTGTTAAACAGAAAACAAATAACCTATTTTACACAAATTTAATATGAAAGTATAACGAAATTATTGCAACTGGTATTTTATTTTGATTCCGCCTTATGGCGGAACAATATCGTTTGTTCCAATATGGACACCTTTGAAACCATAATTCGTATTGATTCACATATTTATTCATATTGTTAATAAGATTTTTATAAATATATAACAAAAATTTAATAGTAAAAAAACTTTCGACCTAACGTGAACATAAAACAAAGCAAAGAAATGTATTATTTTTTAATATTAATCTCATATTAAATTATATGAAAATGTTTTTCCTATTTTTTATACAGATGAAGATGGCGAAGCTGGGGTTGAGGATTTGGATCCAATGGATCTTATTGATCCTGTTGATATACTGTCCAAAATGCCTAAAGATTTTTATGACAAACTGGATGAGAAAAAATGGACTTTGCGTAAAGAGTCGCTGGATGCATTGGAAAAGCTGCTCACAGAAAATCCAAAGTTAGAGGGTGGTGAATATGGCGCTCTGGTCAGTGCATTGAAGAAGGTTATTTCTAAGGATTCAAATGTGGTACTTGTGGCCTTAGCTGGCAAATGTATGGCCATGCTGGCAAAAGGTCTCTCAAAGCGTTTTTCCAACTACGCAACGGTGAGTGAAGCCAACTGTCTAACATAGCGTTTTGCTCAATCCCACATTTTTTAAAGGCTTGCGTACCGGCACTGTTGGAGAAATTTAAGGAAAAAAAGCCTAACGTGGTAACCGCACTTCGTGAGGCAATGGATTCAATTTATTCATCGACAACGCTGGAGGCACAACAGGAACACATCGTGGAAGCACTGAACAACAAGAATCCCAACGTCAAGTCTGAGACGGCATTGTTCTTGGCGCGTGCACTTTGTCGCACCCAGCCGACAGCATTAAACAAAAAACTTGTCAAGCTACTGACCACTTCTTTGGTCAAAACGTTGAACGAATCTGATCCCACAGTGCGCGACAGCAGCGCTGAGGCACTAGGCACTCTTATGAAATTGATGAGCGAGAAGACGCTTACGCCATTGCTTCTCGATGTAGATGCGCTCAAGATGACCAAAATTAAAGAGTGCCACGACAAAGCCGAGATTAAAATAAAAGTAGCTGCACCTAAAAAAGAAGCACGTCCCGCCACGGCGCCGACCACTAAAGTAGCAGCCGCTACAACCAAGCCAATCGGTGGCACTACAGAACCGAAACAAGTGACGCGACCCGCGACCTCAGGTGCTCGAAAGACTGTAAAAAAAACAGGAACAGGAGCAACAGGCGCAGCGTCTGCAGGTACATCCAGAGCAGCTAGTAGCAAATCCACAATTTCAGAACGTGAATTGACGCCTGAAGAAGTACAAGAAAAAGCAGATGTGCTACTCCCACCTGATGTTCTAAATGGGTTGTCCGACAGCAACTGGAAAAATCGCCTAGCGGCTATGGAACAATTAATATTGCAAATTCCCAGCTATGATGCCCAGCAACCGGGCTTATCTCAAACTTTGGTGCGAACTATTAGCGGACGCAAACCTGGACTCAAGGAGATGAACTTTCAAGTGCTCAAGCTTAAGTTGGACGCGATACGAAGTGTGGCCGAAAACTTTCCACTAACAGCCATCACGGTAGACCATGTAGTCAATGAAATAACAGAGAAACTGGCTGATGCCAAGAACGGTGGGTCAGCTTCCGATGCTCTTACCGCCTTATCCGAAGCAACCAAACTGGAGCATGTCGTTAGCAAAGTGCTAAGCTTTTCCCTTGAGCAAAAGTCACCTAAAGTACAGTCAGAGGCCTTTAACTGGATTAACAAGGCCATAGTGGAATTTGGCTTTAAGCTACAGCCAAAAATGCTAATCGATGATGTGCGCAAGGGTGTACAGAGCACGAATCCAACAGTTCGCGGCGCCGCTATCCAGCTGGTGGGTACCATGACAATGTACATGGGGAACTCATTGATGGTTTTCTTCGATGGCGAGAAGCCAGCGCTTAAATCGCAAATTCTGGTCGAATTCAATAAGAATTTGGGCGAGAAGCCGCCCAGGCCTGTGCGTGGCGTAGTACGTAGTAATACTAATTTGGACGATGACGAGGATGAAGATGCTAACTGCAGAGCGTCACCGGAACCCATGAATTTGGCCGATCTGCTGCCGCGTGTGGACATATCGAGCCAAATAACAGAATCGCTGCTAAAAGAAATGTCCGACAAGGATTGGAAAACACGGAATGAGGGTCTCACCAAGCTGCAGGCCATCATTAATGAATCCAAGTTGATTAAGCCAACCATTGGGGACTTGGCGCCAGCGCTCGCACATCGTCTTCTCGACTCTAATGCGAAAATAGCTCAAACTGCGCTCTCCATTTGCGAGCAACTTTCAACAGCGATGGGCGCCGGCTGTCGTAGTCATGTACGTGTACTTTTTCCTGGCTTTTTGCATGCCCTAGGCGACAACAAAAGTTTTGTTCGTGCTGCAGGCCTTAATTGTATGAATAGCTTTGGCGAACAAGGCGGTTACAAGGAGTTCTTTGAGAACGAAATGATTGCCGACGCCTTAAAAAGTGGTTCGCCGCTGCTAAAGTCTGAGTTGTGGGCATGGTTGGCCGAAAAGATGCCACTTCTGCCGCCCAAATCGATATCCAAGGAAGAACTTACCTCAATGGTGCCACATTTGTATGCGCACATCTGTGATCGCAATGCGGAAGTGCGTAAAAACGCAAACGAAGCTGTCCTAGCCATCATGATTCATTTGGGTTACGAGGCGATGGCTCGCGCACTAGATAAACAAAAGCCAGCATCAAAGAAGGACATATTAGCCGCTTTGGAGAAGGCTCGACCTAATTTACCCGTCAAGCCGCTTCCCAAAGGCAAACAGCAAGCGCCCATCCCAGAAGAAACAAAGAAGGTGGTGCGCAGTGGTGGCGGTGGTGCCGCTGCCCTAAAACAAAATGCAACTAAAGCAGCTAGCGCCTCTAGCGATAAAGCTTCAACCACCACTGCTTCTCGTAAAAAAGAGGAGGATGTGGATACGTCGCCGTTACTGGCAGTGAACAACATTAAAAACCAGCGGCTCATCGATGAGCAAAAAATGCGTGTTCTCAAATGGACATTTACTACTCCGCGCGAGGAGTTTACAGAACTGCTTCGTGATCAGATGACCACGGCTAATGTGAATAAGGCAATGATGGCAAACATGTTTCACGATGACTTTCGGTATGTTAACTTAACACATGATCATAATTATCATTTAAGTCTTACTAAATAGCAACATCTGAATCCCAACAAAAAGGAACCCGAACCGAATCTAATACTAAATCCACAGTTATCGACTTTGGCGTAGGTTAAAAGAAGACCAACCAAAAATTTTAAGATACCAACTATTTTAAATTTTTAAAATATTGCCTATGTTTTGTACGTATATATTTTTTTATAACTGATGCAGTTAAATTTGGAAAATTTCAATTTCTAAATTAAAATTTCAAATTCATAAATTCTGTCCCATAATATATTATTTTAAATTATATAGCTTGTATTGGCATCCACCAATAATTAAGTTAAAAATGAAAAACCTAAACTTTTTGCTACATTGTAAAATATATATTTATTTACATACATTTTAAACTTTTCTCGCATTGTGAACATTGTAAAAATATTATATGTTCTGTACTAATCAATCAAAATTCCTTTGTCCATTGCAGTTATCATTTGAAAGTCATTGAACAGTTGAGCGAGGATTTGCCAAATAACAGCAAAGCATTGATTTGTAATCTTGACTTAATACTCAAGTGGTTAACGTTGCGCTTCTATGATACGAACCCTTCTGTGCTTATTAAGGGTCTCGAGTATCTAGGACAAGTGTTCCAGATGCTGGTCGAAATGGAGTATATGATGGCTGAAAATGAGGGAAGCAGCTTTGTGCCTCATCTACTGCTAAAGGTGAGGGGATATACATATTTTAGTGCGGCAGCAATTCTAACTTTGCTTGTATTTTAACAGATTGGTGATCCAAAGGATGCTGTGCGAAACGGAGTGCGTCGTGTCTTACGACAAATAAACCTTTTATATCCCTTCACCAAGGTCTTTTCGTATGTGATGGATGGACTTAAATCTAAAAATGCACGTCAGCGCACCGAATGCCTTGACGAGTTAACCTTTCTCATCGAGAACTATGGACTAGGCATTTGTCAGCCATCGCAGCAGGTAGCGCTAAAGGAAATAGCGCGTCAAATTTCTGATCGTGACAACTCAGTACGCAATGCGGCACTGAACTGCATTGTAATGGCATATTTCTTAGCGGGGGAAAAGATTTACAAACTGATTGGACATCTGAGTGAGAAGGATCTATCCATGCTCGACGAACGTATCAAGCGAGCCAAAAAGACAAGAAAACCAGCTGCACCAGCAGAGATACCGCCTGGTCTAAAGCCACCAGCGCAGGTGGTGCAGCAAGACAGCATAGAGATAGAGGATGCTGTGGGCAATGGTTGTGAAGAGTTGCCACCACCCGAAGAGGAGGGGTAAGTGTGCATATTAGCAGGGAACGGAAACAACAATCAAGCACTTTACTAAAACGCTGCTATCACTTGAGTACATTTTGTTTGCAGCTTTCCAGGAATGGAAATAGCTTTGTTCTTTGTTGGAGTATTTCAAAATACTTTTTGGTATTAAAGAGTTCCTATCAAAAAGTAAAGATTTCCATTAAGTGACCAAAGACAGTTAAAACCGAATACTTAAACAGACAGAAATGAATAGCGAACGGTTTTTTTTTTTAAAGCAAAATAAATTCAAAAAAATGTTAATTAATATTGCAAATTAATAAATAAGTGATTAAAATCGAAGTTATATCGGTTTTTTAAAAACTAAATCAGTAGACATTTACAAATCTTTTATTATTCAAACGTATTTTTATAACTATGAAAAGAAAATGTATAATAGAATATTAAAAACAAATGTGGCTGATTGCTAAGAAAAATTTCAATTGTGACAAAAACAAGTTTGAAAACATTTCAATTTAGTTGCTTTTATAAAAGCTTGTCGTTCAATATTTAGTAATTTCCATTCCTGGTGATTATTTTTTAAAATCTGTTTTAAGTTCTCTAGTTTTTATTTGTATGATTTTGCTTATTTTCTTTTCTATTAATTTTGTGACCTAGCTGCCAGCAGCCAGAGTTTAATGAGCGTGGCCAAAACAACAGGCTGGCGGAGCGGAATGCCACAAGCGCTGAAAGCAACTTACATTCGCTGAATCGACAGGCGTAAAGTGGCGTTCCTTTCTATATATATAGAAATATTCTCAATTTGTTTTGCTTTATATGTTGTTTGCTTACTATGTTGTTTATTACTGTTGGCTTGTGCTCTGTTTATTGCTACATTTTGCTCAGTTACATTTGCCTTTGTTGTTGTATCGATATTTACAATATGTATTCCATTTGCAATCATAGTATCATACCATATTCTATATCTATTCAAATAATGCCTGTGCTGGGCAGATAGATTTATGTTAAAATTAAAACTAATTCAACATTTTTCACATTATACAGTACATTTGATCAGGCACCTTCTGCGCAGGTGTTACAGTTGCAGCAGCAGCTGCAACTGCATCAGCAGCAGGTTGCACAACAGAGAACAAGTGGCCCATTTGGCTTGGATCCGCAGGTGATGGCTGATATCGAAAAGGATTGGGTGCGAGTCGATCAAATGGTATTCAAGGAGCTGCCCACAGTGGACATATCGCTGCTTTACGAGCCTATTAAGGTTATACCTACACGCGATGGCTTCCAGTATCCACAGGATAAATTCGATCGACTCATTGCGCGCTCACGCTACATACAGCAAAATCTAACCACATCGCCGCAGTCAAATCCTAGTATGGCTAGCGGCGTTTCTCCCTATCGCAGTCCAATGCGAATGCAGCAACATCTAACAAGTCAAACTCAGTTGGAAAACAATATGCCCAAGTAAGCTACAAGTTATTTTGCATCTAGAATCTTCAGTAATTTGCTCTTTCCAGCTTGGCTGATGTGCTGCCCAAGCATGATCCGCAGTTAGTGAAAATTATCAAAGCAGTTAGCAGCACAGACACGCTTAAGGCCCGTGCGGCCATAAATGAACTAACAGAGATTATTGAGGCTCCCGAAAAGCAGGCGGTGTTGCGTGATTACGAGGAAATATTTATCCAAAATGTGCTGGCACAGTTGAAGGTGAGGTGTATCGCTTTAACTAAATCAATATAATTTTAAACATTATTATTTTTACAGAATCTCTCGCAGATGCCTATAATACAGGCACAGGTTGTGTATCAACCCTTGCTGTCCATTTTGTACACATTCTTCAATGCTAACATTCTCGGCAAAACGCTAAGCATTGCTTGTATTAAGAATCTCATGTCTGCGCTGCTCCATCTGCTCGCTGATCAAAAGCTAAACAGCGGGGATGATTGCCAATACAACAAAGTCATCAATGGCATATGCCTTAAAGTTCTAGACAAAGTCAACTTTACTAATATATACTGGTATACAAACGTGACACTAAATTAAAATACAAAAACAAATACTTACGCACTTTACTAATTTCTTGCTTGCAGCGCCTTAATACGCTTGTTGAGAGAGACCTGCCCTGTTGCCGGTTTGCCCAAATTCACCGATTTGCTGATGAAATGCATCTGGCGTAATATTAAAATGCTACCGGAACGAACCAACGAGCTTAACTATGATGCAGTCATCTTGGAGGTACATGAATTTATGCTGGCACTGCCCAGCACCTGGTGGCAGAATCGTCCATCGGATACTCCGCTGCGTACCGTAAAAACGATAATACACAACATGGCTAAGGTGAAGGGCAACGCCATATTACAGCATCTCAATCAGATACCGACACATTCAGAGTTGCACACATATTTGATACGTATATTGAAGGTATGCAATCAAAACTTTATATTATATGCATACCAACGATAATTTATGAAAAATCTGTTTAGAATTTCCAAAAAGATGGCACGGTTTCCGGCGGTGCTGGTGTTTCGCCGCAGCGTCAACAGTTCCCTTCTAAAGATGTTGACGGAAAGCGCATATCACATCAGACACACGACACAGTATCGCAAATCTTCAAGCTGATCTCAGACAAGGATACCAAGCAACAAGGACTTCAAAAGCTTTTTGACTTTAAGGTACGTTTGGATACCGAATTGACCAGAGTTAATATTAAGTTAACTTTGACCATTGCAGCAGCAAAATCCTGATATAGATTTGAGCACTTTTCTGCAAGGATCCAGCGTCACTTTCCACAAGTACATTGAGGAGGGGCTTGCTGAAATAGAACGTAATCAGAATACTGGCACTACACAGGCGCCTGATAATCGTACAGGTTAGTTAAAAGTCCACAACTAACACACGACATCTGTATATTAACCGCTCGCACCTCTACTAATTTAAATGAATTGGATCAATCGGCAGCTGCTACACGTTCTTATCTCATAGATGTCAACTACCAAAATACCGCGCATGATCCGGATTATTGGATGGCCCGTTTACAGAACTTAATGTCCACGCGGCAAAGCGGGGACAATGGCTCCAATATGCTTGACAACCGGGTAGCCGACGAGAATCTCTGCTTAAACTCGATGAACTCACAGAAAGTGTCGCTAATCAGACAAGAGGTGAGTGTCGTCAAAACTCATTAACAATCAACATTTAATTTTAATGTTACATTGAGTTCAAATCAAAGTTAATTAAAATTCAATAAATTCTTTTCTTGGCCAGAAACCTGAATTGTCGCCCAATCGCCTTCAGCACATACAGGCCAAACTGGCGCAGATTAAAAAGGAGAATCATGCCCAATAAATATGAACGAGAGCCGTCTTACTATTTAGTTAGCAGTGTATAGCTTGTTCTGCTATGGATTATTATATATTTATATTACATATTAATGCCGATCAGCAACGAGATAAGCTCTCTAGGGCGTCATTAACCACATACACAATTTATTATTTAACATAAATATATATGCTTATAGATTTTCGGTATAATCATAACGTTTAGTAACAAATCGAAGCAAAACTTAAGTCAGGTTAATAACAACTACTACAGTAACAGTAACAACAGCATACTACACCAATCCTACTAATATTATTTACTACCAACTATATGAACTGCAAGAGCAAATTATCTATGTATTAGCACTGAGTTATGTATTTTGGTATGTGTATTCGAATTTCGATTGCCTGAGTTGAGATTACAATTTCAGCATGTTCTATTTGTCGTTCGTTAAGTTAGTTCCTTGCATCTTTTACGGTCATTCTATTAGAAATGCGTGAAAATTAAAAGTTAAAGCAATTACCACATGTTAAAGATTTATGTATTAATAAAAGAGAACTGGTTTTTTCCCCAAAACATATGGTATGAACCTTGTTATGCTGCTACCAACTGATATTGGCCAAGCAAAGAGCAGAAAAGCTCTGCGACTTAAATAACTATTTTTGAAACGTTGGAAACATACTACATGCCAGCTCGTAATTAGATAACGGACAATTTACTATGTTGCTGTGGCGTTTGTCTTAACAGTTATTTAGCATAAGCCCTGTCTAGTTTAACACACACACTCACATACACTCTCATACACACGAATTTTTTGTAACATGCCCATTATTTATGCAAACAACAATAAATGTTATATTTATACTTCATCTAATCCGCCACAGGCACAATGTCCTCTGTTATTTCAGTTAGCTCCTCATCCTCCCCGTCGCCATCGTCATTCTTCGGCTTAGCATAGCGTGAGGAAATGGTAGCCACTCTTATGGCCGCCTTGAAGCCTACGCGTGCCTTCATCTTGGCCAGTTTGGCCTTCCAGTTTTCGTCACGAGACGGCAGCGCATTTAGGTACTCAATCATTTCTTCGTTTTTGGGGTCCACAATGGCCAGCACTGACATACAACCGTCGACTGTGCCCAGCACAATAGCACGCCCATCTTTGCTGCTCTTAATGGCTGTCAGTTCAGCTTGTAGTCTGTAGTTAGCAATCATCTCTGTGTCGGCGGTACGAAATACGCGAATTGTCTTCCTGCCGCTGTGATAATAGGCCACATATTCGTCATTCTCCGTAAATATGCAAATGACTGAGAAGACGCCCTCAGCCACCTTTGGTATGAAGGTTTTCACTGTGGTGCCTTTGCGCAACTCCAGCATCTCCAAGCCTCCTCTCGTTGGGGCATATAATCCACATTTACCATCACGGGTGAGGCTGCCACCCCATTTGGCAATGGAGCGCACATGCTTCTTGCTCTTGATGTCCATAATGCTGCCCTTCTCGCTGCTAATCACAGCCACCTGGTTAGCCTTGTGAGGCATGGGCACCAGCGAGAACACCTCCTGTAATACCAATAATTATGGGATAAATGTCTAAACTAATCATGATCCACTCACCTTAATGGCACAGCCTTTAAGCAATATTTTTGTTACGAATGCGCCATTTGTTGCACTATAAACGCCCAAGCAATCCTTATTAGATTTGTCCAAAGTAACCACGATGATATATGCCTTGTCAGCTGTGATAACTGATTGGCGAAATGGCATGCCCGTTACCATGCGCATGGGAAAATCAAAGCGAAACAAAATTGTCCCCTCTGGAAGATACAAATGAAAAGGATTTTTATTTTAGTTAAATATTTTACCATTAGATAGCGACTTACCCGGAATCGATCGAACCGTTGTTATGGCTGTCAGGCGATTCGTTTCATCGGATCCTGCTAGAATGTCTCTGTGATTAATGTTGGGTACCGACACGGTAAGCGCCTTATAGCCATAATCCATGAGCGTTATCTGCTGTATGCCCGGCTGATCATCGCGATAAACGACCTGCTCGGACACGCGGTTCCAAATCAAAAACTTGCCCGTTTCCGACGAGATAATGTAGCGTCCGTCTGGAGTGATTTCCGCATGTGTTACAATGGCGCCCAACGGACTGTCAGCCAGCTTGGCAAGTAGGCGACCAGAGCGCGTCTCCCACACACCAACGCAGCTGCGTGTGACTGTCACGGCCATATCCACCTCAGAGAGGCTGATATCATCGATTTGCAACTCATGCCGATCAATGACGTGAACCTTTTCAAATATGTTGTTGATGTTCCACACCTTGACCGAGCGATCTATAGAGGAAGTCACCAAATTGTTCCAATTGCCAATGGTCAGCGGCTCCAGTTGTATGATCCGTCCAAAATGAGCATCCAACACTTTGGCCAGTTGACCGCTCTGAAGATACCAGACATAGAGATTCTTACGCACCCCGGCCACCGCATAGTCCAGCTTGGAGCTGACCATTATAGAATTTGATTGCATGATGCGAGTCGTGATGTTCCTAACACCATGCGGAAGAGCCAGATACATTGCGCCCTCGGAAATGGGCGCTCTCTCACAGTCCTTCTCTTTTCTGCCAAAATCCCAGATGACAAAGCCTAAGCCAGCGGTGCCAAGCAACATGCGATCCTGCTGATGTTGATCCAAGCGCAGCTGCAGCAGCATTTCCTTCTCGTCGTTCTCATAGCGCGGTAGATGCTCGACAAAAGCCCAGTGTACCTCCCCTGTTTCCTCATTCTCAATGAAGTCATAAACGGATACTTCGAAATTATCCTTATTGGCACACCCATAGGCGCGAGTGCGTCCCTTGTTCATTACCAAAGCGCTGAAGAAGTGCACTGAATTGGAGCAATTCGATGTGCGATGCGAGTCCAAACGCAAACGAATTTCATTGATCGAGCCCGACCAGAAAACAACATTATAATCCAGTGGACTGAAGAATTCCATTGCTGCAAGTGACACTCGAGATATATATTCAATGTTCAAGGAAGGAGCTGCAAGAGGTCTTTACACAATATCTCCCAATCCGTATTCTGTCCCGGCGCTTCGAAGATTTCAACCAAATTGCCACGCATGTCAAATTTTGCCCAGCGCAGCTTGCAGATGATAAACAAACTAAAAATCAATTAATTACAGAGTCCATCAGCCAAGCTGCGAAGACCTACTTCTGATTTAGCAGATACAAGCCACTAACAGGTCCGTCGTCATCCTCAAATGGACTATTGATCACCACAAACTCGCTGGATAGCATGTTGAGCAGCACCGTTTGATTGTTGTTGGAGTAAGCAGCTGCCCACTTGTTGTCCGGGCTCAGAACCAGCTGCTGCATAATGCCTTCAATGCCGGGATTGACGTCTCGCGTCAGATCCGATGTGGACAAATCGAAGGTGATGAAGTGCGTGGATATGGAGACCATGTAACGCATATCGCTGGTCAAACAGAAAGCAAATACTGCAAACTGATGACCTTCCAGTGAGTACTGCCAGATGAGACTGAAATGAGCGACGCTTAGAATCCATAAGCTGTACTTACCTTGAGTGGTCCGCCAGGTGTGTGCAGACAATGGTTGACTGGTATTAAGGCACAGTCCTTGGGTCCACTACGATCACAGGCTCGTAGCAACATCTTGATATTAGGATTACCCCCGATCTCAGGCAGCAGGCGTCCAATTAACTGCGGTGCCAGCATATTGGGATATATGGCCAGAATGGCACCACCCAAGCGTAAAGCATCCGCCACCAGCATCAGCTCACGCTTCGACTCCTTGTCCTCTGTATTACTTGAAGCATCTTCGAAGTCAGCCAGCACCGCCTGTAAAGGACAGCTCGAGAGCTTGGCATGCAGCCATTCATAGTTGAAGAGCACGTGCTCAAACAGATCTTTGAATCTTCTAGAGCGCACAAAATGAAAAGGCAGCTCACCAAACTGCAAAGAGAATAATCAGGATTTAGCAAGGATTGAGAATGAGTTGAGCATATTTTGACTTGCCTTGCGCAAGTTGTAGCGCTTCGAGAGGCCATCCTTACTGGTAAAGACCAGCGGTTGTATGGGCACCTTGCGATCTGCGGACCCTTCCTTGTCAGCTAAACCAAAACGATGTCTCTGTATCTCCGTGAATTTGAAGGGTTTCGGTATGCCACCACCCCAAATGCCCAAATAATAATCTGCAATCATTGAATGAAAGTATATGGCCATATTCATGTTCTTGAAGTAGCGCTCCTTGGCTGTATCCTTGAATTGTCTGTGGTACCTGTGGAAATGATGTTTTAATTATTATGTAAATATCAAGCCCATTTTCAAGCCATAATCAGCAGTTGGGTGATTTCGCGGCTTCTGTACCAGTTCATGACATTGACGCCATCCGCTTCCCGTTCACTCAAGTAGTTGGGCAAATCGTTTCGGATGCGCGTCCATAGCAGCGGGGGTATGCGACGCACTGGAGGCATATGGTACTGGTAGACATCGTCCAAGACCTTGTCATCTAGAGAGATTAAGTCCTCGAGCTCGCTTTCGGATAGACCCGATTTGGAGGCGGTTATGTAGGCGAGGGCATGAAAGACCAGGATGCGACCATGTTGCTTTTCCACACGCTCAAAGAGCAACATGATTGAGTCCATCACCGTGTTGGCCAAATGGGTCTCCTGCGGACGCGTATAACTGCGCCATCGACATATCTCGGCAAAAACCAGCTTCACGAATATGGGCAGGGAGCATTTGCTAATCGCATTGGCCACCAGACGCCACTGGTAGTTGTTAAGATCGCGACACGCGGTCTTCATCCACATTTTGATGACGTTCATGGCCAGGTCCTCCCCCAGCGCAGTCACCTCTATAAAGTTCTCCTCCACGTCAATCATCTTGCACAGCACATGGTACTCATGGGAGACAGTCGGATTTGCCGGCTCATTCGCACACGATATGATAATCTGGAATAGCAATCCCAATGGCATTTGGATCTAAGACAACTCGGTGCAGATAGGCTAGTTGTTAATGATACTTCTGATATGCCTCATGCAGAACGGCATTTCTTTGGGGGAAATGGTTTTGGGTGAGGGTGTCAAAAGTAATTTATTTGCGAGTGATATTGTTTAGCACGCACATGTCAAGCAATCGAAAAAACTTACAGCGCTTCGAAAAACAATGTTCAAATTGTTAATGTATATACATATACCTGGGTACGGGCAGCATGCAACTTTCAAAAACTCAAAACAGAAAGATATCTAGGAAAAAATTGGTTCTTTTATATATTTTCATGCAGTGCATACTAAGCTAAGTCCTATCAAGTAAATCAATTAAAAATCGAACACCTATATACGAGGGGCGCATGATACTTTTCGGTAAATTTTAATTATCTGTGCAAGTGATTTTTCAATATGCAAATGACGCGGTAAACGTTTCTCGACTATCTTTTTAATGCTTAGAAATATACTAATATTAGTGAATATAACTTCAAGTATTATGTTTTCATATCATCTTATTTATCTAGAAAATGAGCTTTTTCACTTTATGCCACAATTAATTTTTTTAAATGTGACAAAAATGAAGTTTAAATAATAAAGAAATAATACAAGTTTCATCATCTATGATGATATTTTTTGATCCATGCTATAATAATATTCAGCTCCAATTTTTAACCATGTACAAAGTGAGTTAGATAATATTCAAAAATTGTTTGTATTTACAGAAGGCCATGCATAATATAGTATATATATATAGTAAGGTTCATGCATCGGAAACAGATATTTAGTGGGGAGAACAACTGATAAGTCCTCGCACTCACCTTACAGTGGGCTGGCAAACGTGTTGGTATCCAGGATACCTTGTTTGAATCTTGGGTGCCAGTCAATTGATCAACTGAATCTAAGTATATAGTTAACGGCTGATTGGGGCTAGCGTAAGTTAGTAATTGCTTAAAATGTGCTGTTAGGGGTACAAGATCATCTGGTATATTCTCAAAGGGTAGCATATAGTTGTACGATATCTGCGTTGTTCATATATGTATGTACATATATTAGTTGTTGAGTAGAAACACGATATGAATAAGTTAATCGGCTGAAAATAATGGATTGATATCACCTGCTGGCATATTGATATGAGTGTGGCCGTCAGGGCACTCGAATCCGGAGTTGTGCCTAGGAAGCGTATGACATTGATGGGTCGCTTGTCGGCGAACCATTCGCTGGCTACAAGGGAGGCGCTCTTGGCCAGCAATGAAGTTTTCCCACAACCTCCGTCGCCAAAAAGGACAAGTGGCTTATCTGAATCCCCCAGCATATAGCGCTTGATACGTTCGCAACTTTCTTCGCGGCCGTAAAAGATTTTCACCGAATTGTTACAAGCATGCAAATGCTGAAGGATCTCAGTTACTATCTGCCCCTGTGCACTGGAGTCTTCCTTGCGCATGGCCCTATCCACGAGCTTAACAACATTCTTATAGAAGTGCGATATGAAATGATTTAAATACTCCTCATGCGTCTCAATGTCCAGACCCTCGCGGCCAATCCACTCCACAGTATATCTGAAAAAAAGGGAATTATTTAATTATGATTTAATTTAGTAAACACTTTATTTACTTCTGCGCATTGCTTGACTCGATTTTAGCGGGTAGCCGCGTGTCCCTCAAGTCACCTAACAATTTCGCCGACTCCGTGTCCAAGCTACGATTGATAATGTCCACAAAGAGCGAGGCCTTCTTCAAGTTTTGCAGATTAATGTTGTTTATGTAGCGCACATAGGCCAGACAATGGTTCTTGGTATTCTTCACATTCAGAACCCCATTGATCACCTCACGTTCCGTGACTAAAGGCATAATTCATAAGTGCATGATTCAGTTGATCTATGCTACTAATAGCTCCCACTTACCCGACATAAAATAGTTGTGGACATCGTCCTTAGACATCTTGTTGCTAGCGCCCAGTGAGGCGGCAGCCTTGCGCAGCAGCTTTTGCATTTTGTTCAGGGTATCCCACCAGACAGCTTGATCCTCTGCCTGGAGCTTGGGCACGCGCTGTATAAGAGTCAGTCAGTCAGTCAAATAGACCACTTGCTCTTAGCTACTAAAAGTTACCTTGTTATTGAAATTAATCAAAATCGATGAAATGGGCTGTAAAACTGAAATGGGCGGCACGGCATTGCTATCCTTCTTATACCATAAGTCGAGGAGAGCACGATCCACGCCCATTGAGGTCAACTCCTCGCATATCAGTTGCAGCTCCGAGGAGACTATGTAGGTGGGTATCGGCCGATAGCCGTACTTTTGACCCAAAAACACAATAAAATTGGGTCCCATCGATAGGCGTTGACAATTTTTGATCTCCCGCATGCAAAGCTCTGTAGTCATATGATCGTCGGTGGCCTCATCTCGAACACCCCAACGCATGTCCACCACTTGAAACTCGAGTCCATGCTTCTCACGACAGTAATCCTTGATTCTTGGATAGCACTTGGCCATCAGTGTATTCCGTTCCATCGTAGTATCTGTTTGGAAATACACACGATTACATAAGAACCCACACACAAGTTACAGAACATTTCGCTTGTACACACCCGTAAAAGTAGAGCTGGTAAAAATACGCACAATTTTCGAGCTAACCGGCGGCAGGGACTTGAGGGAGCCCAAGAATATCGAGTCTATAGTGCGATCGTCCATGGTTAGGATATTATTTGATCAATTATACTGCAATTGGGTACTGCCGGAGCAGCTTTTGTTTAACACGTTCCGCTGACGTTGAAATCCAATCTATGTCTGCACCAAACGGAGACCCAGAAAGTTGTCTAAAGTTCACATTATATGGCTTGCCGCTGTTTGGTCGATATTACGGATTACGGATATGTGGCGCATTTGACAGTCGCCTAGTTGACGGGTTGTTTTGAGTTCAGCTCGACTGACACGCCAGGGTGTAGTCGACAACCAAGTAGGTAGTGTGGTAGCCAGGGGCAACACCTGTTGCGCCCCGGCGCCTGCCTTTGTTTTGATTGGAAAGCCGTTGCATTTGTTTTGGTTTTATTATTAGGGATATTTGTAACTGGCATCTGCCTGCGTTCTGATTGATGTTAGCCGTACTTTGTTTTGCTTGCGACGTACTACAACAAGTGTTTTCAAGTACTCTCGACGCTCTCAGTGACCGTGACGTCGACAGTTGCGTGCTTGCCACACATTTCCAGACGTTCGCGTTGGCGTTGTTGAAACTTTCAAAGTCGTTGGCGGCTGACAAACGGTGCCACTTAATGGGCCATCGGTTTTGGGTGCGACTTTTCTAGCCACCCCCTCCCTATCACTCAACTCCTTAGCTCGGGCAGTAGGGCATGGGTATGTCTTAACGTTTCTTCAAGTTGTCAATCATTGGCCTCGACCTAGAGACGTGCGGTCCTAGACGAATAAATCAATGGCTATGTGGTGCAGGTGGCTCAATTCAACTACATTTCGAGTTCAATGTGTGCCATTTATAGTGCTGACATTTGACGAGTAAATCCCACCTTTTAGGTCAAGCAATTGCAACCAATTTTGCCTGGTACCTGGTACAACTAATCAGATTACGGCACCTGCAAATTCTTTTTTAAAACCCTCAGAGTTGGGGCAATCTTAAAGGGTTGAGTTCTAGTTTGCTTTAAGCACTAGCTTTTATATATGATTTAAGCAATTCATTAAAAGATATTTCCGTACGATCATGATTACTATTTATAGTTGGGTCAATAAGGTCAGCTCAGATCACATCTGTCTACATTTCCACTTCCTTTCTTTGGCACCGTCTGAACCCTTTCATATAGTTCCCATTGCAAACACATTTAATGGGTTTTATAACAATATATTTATTTGTCATTTTCTGTTTTTATTTTTTAGTTTTTTTTTTTGGGTTTTGTGAATAATTTTAGTATGCAAAAGTTTCGTATTCCAATATATATATTATTCTGTTTTTTTTTTTAATAGTTAGATGGAGAATGTTTCTTGAATATCGGATGCATTCGGCTGTATGTAAAATATTTATCATTGGCCAGTTTGTAATGTTATGTGTATGTATTGAAAATTGAATTTAGTTTAGTAAAATGTTTATTATTTCGCTTATTATGCAAACTTCGTCTATGATTTTGAAACGCGTTTAACTAATTTCATTTAAGTTGGCTATAGGAAAATGGATTATATGCTATAGGTATTCGTTTCTCTTTAAATATATATCAAACGTTAGTTATTTGTTTTCTTTTTTGAGGAAGGATAAAAATGTTAATCACTTTTTCGTTTATAGGGACTGTCGCGCAAATTAAATTAACTACGATTCCATTCGAATGGAAACTGTATTACATATTGTGTTTATTATATTTATATGTAGCTATATTTCGATAATAAATAGTTAAACATATTGAACTAAACAGTAATCAAATAATAATAAAAAAACAAAACTAATTAATATTACAGAGGGAGAGAGAAAAAACACGTACAATTGCCACTGCTACGCATAGAGACGTTTCTAGGGCATACTTTAGCCAGCGGTTTCGAGTCCATTTTGTAGGATCTTTGCTGGTGCGGCTGCTGCTGCTGCTGCTGCAGTTGTAGCTGTTGTAATCTTATCTGCGGATGCTGAAGATTTCGTGTCCGGTTTTTGGTCCGGTATGGCTTTAGCCGCCAGTGCCAGTTTGTGTATATGTGGCGACGATGGCGACGTCACTGTTATTCTATAATAAGAAAAAGCTAATGGTTTACACGCACACACACACGCATACGCACGCACACCAAGAGAGGGAGGGCGCAGTTTTGTTTTGGTTTTGGATGGACGTTTTGGAAGGCGGGATGTGTTTTGCATAAAGATATTTACAAAAGCAATTCGGTTTATGATTTTTTGAGTTTTGTGGTTTTATGATTTTGTTTTGTTTTAATCGCATTGATGGCGGGAGGCGGCGTTGTTTGTTTGTTGTTTTTGGGTCAGTTTTGGATGTGGTTGGCATGGTTTGTAGTTTGTAGTTTGCATGTATGAAGTAATTATGTTAATTAGATAAGCCGGCAAATAGCAACAGACCTTACAAGCTAAGTAGCTAGCTAGCTAGCTAACTAACTAGTGATAGTTATTCATATGCATAAGTATTATCGAGCTAATGCGACTACGGTGCTTAGTGCTTGTGCTGCCTGCTGTTTGAGTTGACTTCGTTATCAGCGTACCTAGGGCTGTTGTCGTCCTTTTCACAGATCAGCGTGCGTGTGGTGCTTGGTGGGATAGTGGGGCCGTTTAATGACTGCTGTGAGCTCCGCTTTACATGCACGGGTCGCAGTCGGTCCTCCAAATCGCTAATCGAGCCCACCGAGCTCATACTATCCTCGCTGCAAATGTATAAACATTTAGTTTATCTTTTTATTAGGCACATCGTTAATTTATTTACCTCTCGCTTAACTCCTCCTCGCCCTCCTCCTCCATGGCCTGCTGCAGATCTGCAATGCGCTGCAGCGCCAGGCGTAAATCGTTCTTTAGCGCCATGCCCTCGGACTCCATGACTTCCATTTTCTTCTCCAAGTCCTTGCGACGCGTCAGTGACTCCTGTTCACGGCTGGACAGCGAATGATATTCTTCGCGCATGTCGCGCAAACTCTTTTGAGATTTTTTGAGCACATCTTGTGATTGCATTTCGCGCAGCTTCGACTGGGTGACTTCGTTTTGCAGCTTCTCCAACGACTCCTTATGCCGGCTCACTTGCACCTCAAGGCGTGCGCGTGTCGCCTGCTCCAGTTCCAGCCGCGACTCCAGCTCCTTAGTGCGCATTTCAAGACTGCAAAAGAATTTCAGCTTTATGTATATGTTTGAGAATTAAAAATGTTTATCATACTGACCGCTTGGACATTACAGCTATGGAAGGATCACCCAAATTCTCCACGTTGTCCAGTCTATGCTGCAACTCGGCCACCTGTTCTTTGAGATTGTTGCGCTCTGCTTCGAGTTCAGTGAGCTTGAATTCCGATTCGGAAACGTTGACTTGTTCCGCATTGAGCTGCTTGACGGTGGCGCTGTACTTCTTCATCAGCTCGCCCAGCTCCTCCTCGTTCTCTTCGATCTGCGCTTGCAGCTCAGCTCGATCGCGGTGTGCAGCATTGGCGCGCTCCTCGGCATCGTTGCGAGCCCTATGTGACTCCTCGAACATCGCTTGCACCTCGGCCAACTCAGCTTCAGCTGTCTGTCGCGCCTTCATGGCAAGCGTGCGGGCCGATTCCGCGTCTTCTAGCTGATTGCGCAGCTGTCGGATGAGCGTCTTGCCAGGTGTATCTGCCTTCTGTCGCTCTAGCTGCGTTTGCGCATCCTTTAGTAAGGCCTTGTATTTGCGCAAATCGCGACGCAATTTTTGATTGAGGGCCTCCTCGGCATCCCGATCTACACGATCGCGATCTTCCATTGACGACAGCCGTCGCTCTAGCTCGTGCTTTTCGCGCAACAGCAACGTACGCTCCTCGTGCTCCGTTTCCAACTGACATTCAAGTGCCTTGATCTTTTTGTAGCCATTGCCACGCACCTCCTCCAGCTCCTCATCGCGTTGCTGTGACTCCCGACGTGCCTCCTTTCGCATGGTCTCGAGGGTCATCTCTAGGCGCAACTTGGCCTGCTCCAGCAGCTGTATTTGTCCAGCCATTTCGTCCAGCTCTTCCTCCTGCTCCTTCGCACGACGTTCCGTTTCGTTCTTAGAGCGTCGTAGCTGAGCAAACTCTTCCTCGGTGCCGCCACCAAAGGTCATCTCCTCCAGTTCACGCTGCAACGACGCCAATTTCTCTTCCTTCAGCTCCAGATCTAGACGCGTATCCTACGAAGGAAACAACAATTCAATATTTGGATAGATACAGCAAGTGTCACGCAACATTTGCCCCATTTGCCCCATTTTAACAATTCACATACTTGAATCAGTCGCGTTGCACATGTGGCACTGATACTCATGGCTGTACTTGAACACCGAATAATATCACATAAGCGTTCGGATATGGAAATGGAAATGGTTCTTTACAAAACAAAAATAACTGAAAACGGGGCAAAGCTCTGTCCGGCCAGTTATCACGCGGCCCCAGTCGAAATTCTTCTACTTATTATGATTATTATTATTGTTGTTTTTAATTTCTTTTTTTTTTCGTGGAACTGGTCGGTTTGTAATGGATGTGCGTTCGTCTGTATGCGCGTACTCCAGTTATCGCACGCCGATGTCGACGTTCATGCAGCCACTGCCCCGGTCACAGTCATCGCCAGCTATCGTCGATCGTCGCTGAAGAAAGCCACAAAGCGCAGAGGCAGAAACGTGTGACGCAAACTCTGCCTCCAGTACAGCCCGATAAAAACATGAGAACCCAAAACAAACAAGCGAAACAACACGCGAGTCGAAGTTCAAATGCCCTCACAGAAATCTGAGTAATTGCTTCTTTAAAAGTCAAGCGAAAATGCTTCTCCTATCGATTCTCAATAGTAAAACTTTCACTTGACGGTTGTTTCCATATATCTTTATAAAACTGATCAAGAATAAATAACTTAAATGGGATCGAAAAGACGTCTTCTTTTAAAGTGTTGCACATTTAGCGGCAAATCTAGAATATTCTCTTAAGGTAGACAAACGGAACCACTCTTCAGTTCGCACTCAACTGAGCACAACTGAGGGAAAACCTTCTTAGAATGCACGAGAAAGAGCATGCGACAGGGTATAGCATGTTGCATGCATATGGTGTGGGCAGGTAGTTGAGAATTGCCATTGTATACACGCATCTTACGGGCAGACTGTCTGTCAGTCGGTCAGGCAGACGACAGAGAGTTAGTCAGCCGGTGGCGTGGGTAAACAAGCTGAACGAGTTTTCAAAGAGGCAGGTCTTCAGATACTGCACATATGTACATACTATATCTGTATCTGCCGTAAAATGTTGAATGTGCCACTGCCACAACTGGCAATGCCACTTGTTGCCAGAGCTGATTATAAAACCGATTTGTATGCTTGCCTGCTTGCGTTTTCATGCTGTCTTGCTCTCGAATACCAAATGTTTCCTACTTATTTTGTACTGCCTTCTTTAGACGATTTTCTTCAGCTGGAATCGTGCTATGCGCTACGCTACATTCTCAAATGTTTAGCAACATTTGTTGGCAACATTTATGTGAACGCAACTAGAGATGTACAAGTTTTCATTCGCACACTTTACTTATGATACATGTTGATTATCACGCACGAAGTGTTCGTAAGGAATAATCAAATAGAATTTGAAGACCAATTTATAATAACTTAATTCAATTGTCTTTCAATTGACCTCTATAAATTGTCTATATATATAATTTTATTAAAATTCTGTCTGCGCTATACCCGAAGTTATTTACATATACAACATTTACTTACCGCCAGTGCTTGTTCGAGCGTGAATTTCTCAGCTTGGAGCACATCTTTTTCGCGTCCGTAGCGCTCCTTGGCCTGCCGCTCCTGGCGCGATGCATCCTGCAGGGATTGGCACTCGGCATCGAATTTGCGCTGCTTCTTCTCCAGCAAATTGTTGCGTGCATTTTGCTCCTCGAGCAGCATGCGCAAATCATTCATCTCGTTGGTCATCTTTTGAGCCTTGCGCTTCCATTGGCCCACAACCTGACGTTGTTCCTCAACTTCTTCGTAGGCATCGGAAAGCTGAAAGTGTCATGGAAAAGTTCAGATTGTATTACCCAGAGTTTGCATATAGACAGTCCAGACCTTCTTCTCCAATTGCTTCTTGAGCCCGACCAGCTGTTCCAGATCGTGCTCATGCTGCGTCTGCAGTCGGCGTTTGGTGAACTCCAGTTCCCTGGCCACGCGTTCGTATTTTAGCTTGTAAACTCCACCGGCGCCCTCTTCGTGTTCGGCATCCTCGTCCTCGGAGATGCCATTCAAGTCAGACTTGGCGCATATTAGCTCCATTTCCAGCTTCTCGCTCATCTCCTGCAGGTTCTTAACTTTCGACTGGTTGTCTCCGAGCTCCTTTTCGAGCTTTAGGCGTTCGGCCGTCTCCGCTTCCAAGCGCTCGGTGGCAATATGCGCCGTGGAGCGCTCCTCCGCCAGATCAACAGTCAGCTCGGATAACTACGCGATGAGCAGAGGGGAGAAAAGTCAATCGTTTGGCATAACAATGTGTTAAATTCTACAAAATTCCCAAAGAAAAATTCTACAGAAATACGCATGAAAAATATTCGATTTACGTGTTTAATATTGTTTCCATTTGGAATATTTGTAAACAGTGGAAACACAAAATCTTTTTTTTTCGTCCATCGGCTTGCTAAGTTTCCGCAAATGACCTCAACCCAAAAATGGGTTAAAGGAACCCGTTGAAAGCTCTCAATGAGAACTAAAAGCTGAGTATATATTATACGTTAATGATACCAATTCCAAATGGCCAAATGCCGACACCATAATTATTATATATTATATTTTTGAAAATATTTTAGCTTCACATATTCATAGAATATAATAAATTTATATATATTTAATATAAATATACATATGCATATTTATAATGAAATTATATATGTTGTATATATAACAGGTGTTGCATATATAGCTGGGATAAGCTAAAAGACAAGTTAAAAGCAAGCACTTAAACCTCTTCAAAGTTCAAATAGTGAAATATATTGCTTTAAAATTTATTTGAATTTACTATTGACTCTTAGCTATTACTACCGCTCTTGCACCTGCTATTTTAGAAGAGATTTATAAGTACCAATAAAATATTAAATCATCATAAACAACAAATGTATCTATGGAATATTCCCTCAAGTTCTACAGCACCTAAAGAATTCGTGCTGTGTGATTCACGCATTTTTGTTGTGCTCCAAAAATAGATTGATCTGAGCATCTGAAGTGAGCCGCTAACTTTAGCAACATCTCGACGTCGGCGTCGGCGTCGACGTCGACGTCGGAGGATGCCGCTGTCAATGTCAGCCGCAGCGTTGTTGCATGGAATTGGAATATTTCAACCATATGTTTACTTTAGAATCGTTTAAATTTATATGCTTAAGACAGACAAGACCTGGGCAGATCGGAGCCATCATTCGAAATGATGTCAACTGCCCACACACACAGAAAAATCACAAATCAAATGAGCGGCAAGCTCAAGGTTAACATCAGCAACAGAAGCTACCTCATCCAACTCATTGTCATCCTCCTCACGTATGGTGCGATCGTCGTCATCGTCGCCATTGATTGCATTGGACATTACTGACGTGGCCACCGATGACTCTCTGGCCATGGAGTTGCCACGCGACGTTGGCGTGTGGGGCAGCTGTTTGGACAGCTGGAACGCCTTGGTCAGTATGTTTTGTGTGGAGCGTGTGCGTCCTACCGAGCCGCAGCGTTCCATGCTGTTGCGCTCACGCTGTCGCTCAATCAGCGAAATGGTATCGTAATCATCGTAGTACGCCGAGCTGCCACTGGGCGTGCTGCAGCGGCTGCTGTAGCCGCCCCCAGCTCCATTTATGCTGCCGTTGCTGCTGTTGTTGTTTTGGCGTCGCGTGCGCCGCCCCATAGCTGTCCATTCCTCCTGCACGTGGTCGGTACGCTTCAGAAAGTTTTGTATCTTTTCGCTGAGGTAAGCCGACGAGGTACGCGGATCCTCAAACGAGGGAGTCGGTCGGAGAGTTTGATGTACCGGTTGCCTTTGGCAGCCCAAAACAAATGACAGATTTGCATCAAACACCACCGGCGAACTCTCCAGCTGACGCATCTCATAGGGATCCAAACCACTGCCCCTCGTGTAGGTCTGGGGGAAAACGCGACGCGGCGGCGTCTCCAGCCGCGAGGTGCGCGAAACGCTGGACTGTGTGGAGCAACGCGATGATATCGAATAGGCAGGACTTGGCGAACGTGTCAGCAGACGCAATCGATCTGCAGCAGCATCGGATGCAGATGCAGTTGCCGCTGCACTCGTGCCTGTGCCTGTTGAGAGAGGCAGTTTCAGCGAGACCTCGTAGTGGCTTTCAGTGGTCTGCTGCTGGCAATTACCCAGTCCGGACGTTGAAAGCGACTGCGAGGTGCTGCTGTTGTAGTTTGTGGCACGTGGCGTGTAGTTGTTGGTGTTGTGGTGTGTGTTGCGTGTTAAGGTGTTGCTGTGCCCATTGCTCAGCACTTGGACAGGACTCTGCTCGCGCTGTTTGGGCAACAGCCGTATCTGTTTGCGTGCCTGACTGCTTGGGGGTTTGGGTGGCTTCAGTGTGCCCAGCGAGGAGCCACTGCCGCTGCCACTGCTGTTGTTGTTATTTCTCGTAATACCATTCATTGCGGCCACAACGCGTGCCATAAACGTCTCCTTCTCCTGCTCCGGATGAGACTCTAATTGATGTTTAAATACATCACTGGCTGCTGGCGGCGCTGCAATGTCAGCACTGTCAGCAAGGGCTGCATCAACAGGCGCCAGCGGGGCCATTGGTTAGGGATCAAAAAGTGGGTTTGGATGCGTGTTAATCAGGCGATAATCAGAAATGGGTTAGTGGGCTTTTTGGAGGAAGTTTTCGTTTTGGTTGTGTGCAAATTTTGTAGAGCCAATTCGTTAATTTCGTTTTGAGTTCGTTTTCATAGATCGTTTTGTGTGGTTCGGGGGTATCTTTGTGAGATTTTACGTGCTGTCAAAAACTTGAGATCGCTTGCTGGCAAATATTTAAATTTATCACAAAAGTCCCATTTATTTTGGCTTAAGCATCAAATTGCCAATATGTTTCTTCTTTTCTTTTTTTTTTTTTGGTTTCTTGCTGTTTTCCCAATGTTTTTATTTTTTTCTTGGCACCGATTTCCTATAGCACACACGCACGCAAACGTATCGGATTCGGATTCGGATTCTGATTTGCATACGAATTCGGATACGGATCTCGCGGCACGGCTCGGTGTTGGGCGCCTCCGGCGTTCGCGTCGCGACGTTTGCTCAGCAACTAACCGAATCTCTTTGGGAAACGGCGGCCACTGGCGATGCGTGACTAGAAAAGCTCACCGGGGCAGGCGCTATTTGCCAAAATATTAAGCAGCCTCAGACAGACAGAGAGATAGATGCAAAGAGAGAGAGAGTGGCACAGCTAGCGATCGTCTGCCAAAAGAATTGCAACATGAATAGCCTTAATATTGACATAATCTCGAAAATATATGTAATAAGCAGAGACAACTGTTGATTTGCTCAACGTTTATAGAAATGAATGACCAACATATGGAAAGAAGTTGCAACACGGGTACAGTAGCGCTATAAAGTATTATTAATGATCTTTCAGAGCATTTAAAAATACATACAACACACGATTCTTAAGTGCACAGATACACCAGTGTATATATATACATATATACATATTTAAAGTATATATAAAGATGCGAGTTTGTACGTAAATACGTATACCCAGTCAGTGTTCAATGGACTCACGCATTGCCCAGAAGCTATTTATATTTTTACAATAAACCAAACAAGAGGCGGAAATATCGCCAGATCGCAGTCTTAACTCATTCGTATCTATCAGCGAATGCACTCATTGCGCACTTTCTATTGGCCAAATACATTTTAGACGTTTAGAAGTTTTCAATGGCATTAAAGCGTGAAAACGTTGAGAACACCTCAACTTTGCCTGATATATTCACTATGATCACATGCTATGGAAGATATGGAGTAGTCCGAATTGTTAGATAATCTTTAGAGAAATATATATTCATTCTGAATAATATGAATAATACAACTGATAGAAGATAGGACTTAACTTCATTCACTACTTTAAACAACAACAAAAATTACTTTGTAGCTAATAAGAAAATCAGCTTTAGTTCCACTGTGCAGCCAAAGAACTTGTATGCACACATCATTCATAGAAGCAGTGGGCAAAACATGAAGCATCAGTCTGCAGAATGTTTGCAGCACTTGTCTACCCAAATCTTGGCGCCCCAGATAATTGTCATCTCACCTAACGTGGGCCGCAGCAGCCACATGTCATGTCATCTGTGGCTGCGCAATTTTAATTAAAAATTAACGTAAAGAATTGCCCTGACTGAGAGTGAGAGCGCGAGCGAAAGGTGGAAAGTGCGCTTACCTTGGCTTCCAATTTCTGATTTTCGTTCTTCACTTCGCTGCGATCGTACTCGATCTTCTCCAGCTTGGCGCGCAGCATGAGCAGCTCCTCATTGGCGATCTTCAGCTGCTCCTCGGTGCGATGCACATTGAGTAGAGGTGTTACACGAACCAGCAAACGCCACCAGGGCCAATCGCGCACGGCCAAAAAGGCTTTAACATTGCGCTGAATGCAACGCACTGCCAGCTCCTGCAAGACCAAGACTTAGTCAAGTCCTATGGAGCATCCCATGGAGATTGAACTCACCTGCACACGTCGCTGTGACATCTTTTTGCGTGCCAAATAGCCACGACACAATGATTGCAGCTGTATAATGCGATCCGATAGCAGCACATCTCGCTTTGCTTCCAGCTCATTGAGCACGCCGGACCGGAAAAGTATCTGCAAAAAGGATTAACGACGTTAAGTTATTAGTTTCTACAACTATTTATTCGTTTCACATATAATAATGTACTCATCATAAGCTTAGACCTATTTCATATCATTATATGTTCACAAAAGTGACTACCAAACTCAAAAGTATATTATATAAAATATTTGAATCTTTATTAAATTCAAGAGATGAGATATTCGAAATATATGCACATTTTACTAATTCAAATCCTACAACAGGAAATGTCCTTAAACAGGCAATAATAAATTGCGCTGAGCAATTTAATAGACAGTCAAAGTTAAGTTAAACTTCTTTCAGAATTCAAGTGGTTCCTAAGATTGATATTAACAGCTGACGAATCTGCAGAACGTGATATTAATACTAAATGCAAGAGCTTTTTATCCGATTTTGTAATGCCTCAATTCTTTAGTTGCTTTGACAGCTGCCAGTTTCTTTTTCGTTTCTGCTTTCAGCTTAGAAAATGTCACAATGATTGCAGCAGAGAATGAAACAGATTTGCGACGTTTATAACAAATGGTCTTATAAACCAACTTAAGATCTCAGTACTATCAAAATGTTGTATGAGCATTTTAATGGCAGCTGCGACTCCATGGGGGAAAACAAAGCAAAGCAAATTTAATCAAATCAAGGAAGTGAAGGTCAAGGTGGCTGACACAGCAGCAGAGTCAAAGAGCTGGACAAGAGCAGAGCACAGCAATTTGCACACCTGTGCAGTAAGATGCGAAAAATAAAAGTGAAAGAAATCAAGAGAGCTTAACCTAATATTGAACGACTAGGTAATACCCTTTATTATTTGCTTTGCTTTATGTATTCAATTATATAAAACACGCTTTTTCTTTCATGATTAAAATTTCATTGATTTTATAAAAATCGTAAAATTGAATGTAAATCATTAAAATAACATAATTATAACATAATATATCCAAATATTTATCGTTCAGCTGTCGGCCTTCTGTCTGCCTTTTACTTACATAAGCAGATAAGCAATTTGTCCCTTTTTGATCATTTTCAATGGCTTTCAATGGGTATACAAAGCCAGCACAAAATAGAAAATTGTAAATAAACAAATGCGTCAATTCCATTAGGCAGACGGACCTCATAAACAAATGCAGCTGAGACATAGTCGCGAACTTCCATTGCGACTACAAATTAGTTAGCTAAATGTCTTTGGCTTGGGCTTGGTGAATCGGACGCACCTTGGCTGGGCGTGTCAACTATGTGTCTCTGAATTTGCGACGTTTTTCGAGAAACTATTTCGAAATTTTTAATTATGCAGCGCACGTAGATCAGAAATGAAAGTAAACCAATGTGAAATTGCGACTAACCGGGAAAATGGGTGTGTGTATTTGTATGTGTTTGTGTGTGTTTGTATATGCGGGTTTTACGATCGAGATGTGGTGGGCTCAGGTGAGACGAGCTAAAAAAAAAACAAACTCAACAAAGAACCGAAACCAGGTGTTAAACTTGCATATAGAACAGAAGATAAGCGGTAAAGGTTTTTGTTTTTAAACAATATTTATTCCAGTTAATAGTTAAGAAATAGTTCTAATAGATAAAGCCAGAGCGTATTTAGATTTAAGATATGGTAGGACACCATTATTGCTGGGGACTCGCTGGCTAGTGCAGCCGCATAGTTACCTCTTTCGTATAAGTGGGATAAATCTCCACCTGCGTCTGTATGCAGCGCACCGCCCGCACCTGTGCCACCTTTGTCGTCGTCGTTGTCGTTGTGATCATATGGCTGCCGTCCGTCGGGCACTGCGATTTGGCCTCAAATTTTTGCAATAGCTGCGCAATTTTATTGGGCCTACAGCAGCTCTGCACTGGCTCTGTTTCAACATCTTCGTCATCGCCCTCGGATCCGCATAGGCTTCCAGTCGAATTGCTCGTGGAGTTGGATGCCGATGACAGAACCGTGTTGCTTATGTGGCCAGAATCATCTGAGTCGGAGTTTGAATTATGCTCAGCAGCTTTTATGGGCTTCGGCGGCTGCTGTAGCACCACTTTGACCAGCAGCTCGTGGTTTTTGTCAGAGGTTTCGCCCAGTTTGGGTGGTATTATCTTGCACGATTCTAGCTTGGGCTTGCCCACTTTCTCTTCGTTGGCGTACTGCAGCTGCTGTTTCTTTTTGTGCCGCATTAGCTGTGTGTGCTCCTTGTTAACGCCGCGACTGGGCCGCGGTTTGCCAGCCTTTAGACTCTCCACCTGACGCAGCAGGTCATGACCTTTGGCCAGGCACTTGACCAGTAGTTCATCGCTGTGCGCATTGGGCGATCGGCTGGCCACAGCTTTCAGCGTCGAGTTGGCACGCCTCGGCGGCTTAGCTACCAACTGGCGGCGCTCCAGCGTCGAGTTGGCACGCTTTGGTGGCATAACAGACACTGGCGGCGGCTGTAGCTTTACTTTGGCTGCCGTCTGGCTGGCTCTGCTGCAGTTGCGACTGTTCAATGTCAGCATGGACCTGGTGCGCTGCTGTTTCTGTCGTTGCTGCGGCGCCTGCAGAACTTTGCTATTGGACTGGTTGCCCTTCTCCAGGCAGCGCAGGCTCGAGTGCTTGGATATGGGTATGCGACTGCCGCTCAGCTGGCTAATGTCGCACAGCGAATTGTAGCGCTGATTCGAGCTGGAGTCGCTGCGGCGCAACAGCATCGAATTGGCCAACTCAGGAGTCTGATAAATTTGTCTCCTGCTCGAGGCCATGCTCAGCGTGCTGTGCGATTTCGACAGCAGCTGCCGATCGCAGAACTGAGCGGGCGGCGGTGGCAGCAGCACTGGCACTGGCACTGGCTGCGTTTGTTCCAACTGCACCTCTAACTCCTCCACCGGTGGATACTCCTGCAATATTTGATCGAAGCTCTGCAGTACTTCATGTAGTTTGCTCTCATCGTGCGCGACTTTCTCAAGCTCCGCGAAGATCTCATCCTCCAGCGATTGCTGTGTGAGATTCAGGCTCAAGCTCATGTGGCTCTCCTCATCACTATCCACATAGCTGCAAACGCTGCTGCTGCTCAGCGTCATCAACGGGTTACTGGCTGGCGTCTCGGCAGGAGTCACTACTGCCTTCGGTGTATACTTGCCGCCCACACAGCCGCCGCTGTCCACCAGACTGAGGGCGCTCATCGAGCGAGTATGCTTGCTGCCCTTGTAGTAGAGCTTGCCGCTCAGCTTAGGCGTTAGATTATCCTCGATTTTGTGGCGAATGTTGGAGAAGAACTTCTTACCAGCCCCCAGGCCATGCGCCTGCTTTTGAGGCGTGGCAGCTGACACAGGTGGAGTGCTGCGTGCCTGGGACAGCTTTGATTTGACCGTGTGTTTATACATGACAGCAGTGATTTATTATAAGTTATTTATGATTATGACAATGGTGATATTGATGATGATAGCGATGATGATGTAAAGACTGGCAACAAGTAAAAGTGCATATAGCTCTTGTTGTTGCGAAATTTCCTTTCGATCGACGGTGGGCGCTTCGGCCACTTGACCACCAGCACAGCCAACACTTTCACAGCTGCTGGGCGCTTGGCGCGTAATTCGTGTGTTGTTTTCTCTTTGAGCTCAACGGCGCAACTGAATTTCTTGCCGCGCCAGACGAAGCCAAACAGCCAGCCAGCAACAGCAGCAGCAGCAAAACAGTCAACAGCCAAGTGCGCTGTGCATTCGAAAGTGGCTTATCAACAAACAGAGCTGTGGACATGGTCGCGGCTTACCGTAATTGGCGGCGGTCATGGTTAGCCATACACAGCGAAAGGGGGCACGACGGCATAGCCAAGGGGCAAGCCCAGCTCTATGCAACGTGTTGCAGCTGCAGGTTCGATGCTAATTACCAGCACCAACAAAACACTTTTCATTCAGTACTCAAATGCTCGATTTATAGTTGGCTCGCCTCATTAGCGACATTACAGCAATCACACACTCACACACTCGCACACACACACATCTTGATCGTAATCATCATCATCAGCTTAAACATCATTAGCATTATGTATACATACATAAAGAAAAGTGAAAAATAACACAAATGATTGGCAGCCGTCGCTCTTCTCATTTATGTTGTGATTTGAACTTTTCATTGTCAGCAATTGGACTTCAGAGAGCATTAAAGCCAGCGTAAAGCATGTTAATATGCAACACTCTGAACCAGCTTATGACAATGACAAATATTGATATATGTGCTTCTGCTATAGAATCTGCTGTGCCTCTAGTTTAGTTGAAAAGGTTATTGCACTGCCCTAGGGCAAAAGCATGCACAACCTCAGACAACGCACTCAACAAACAACCAAGAATGTCGTTTTTTTGTTTGGCTAAAGAAAGAGTTCTGGGCGTGTATTATATAATTGAAGTATACCTATCTGGACAGCTCTTAAATATGCACTCCGAATCACAGCTAACCACTGGGCAGCACTTTTTGATGCCCAACATCATTTGAGTACTAAATTCATTTACTTGCCCAAATTTGTTCTTTTCTATTGTTACTATAATCTATAATCCTCTTAACTTTCGATCGCCGATCTATGTCGATTGCCTGTTATCATAGTGATAAAGTATACTTGCATCTCAAAGTATCTGAGTATTAGCGACTTCGAGTCGATGATTTATAGAACCTGCTGTGTCTTCCTTATTGCAGGCCGCTGTCAATGCCCGAAAGCTCTAGTAAATTATTAATTATTCAAATTAAAATCGCTCGTTACGGTCAGTTATCAGATTACGAACAACTCGTAGAACAGAAGGAAGAGTTTGGCGCTTGGTTACTAAAAGAAACACGACTCGTAACTAATTAACTGCATTACAGCTGGCTGCAGCAGCTCTTACGAATATTGCATGTAGGCAGCTTCCTGTTTATTGTTATTTCATAATTCGAACCGAAAACGAGTTTACATAGAGTTAGCCTAAAGGGTCAATTGGCTGGCTTTAGATTAATGCGTTAATTAATTAAGGCCACGCCCCCTTTGGGCAGACGCCGCTTGCATGTCAAATCGCTAATGAAGTTTTCGTGTATTTTTCGACTCAGCCAATTTCAAAACTTTTTTCACTGGATTTCCAAACGATTGACAGAACCCGCTTCAATATATTACGCAAGTTATAAGCAGCTCAGACTGCGGCGACTGCGATTCATTTCTAATGAAAGCGAACGCTGGGAAATTTCACTTTAAATGTTTGCATGGAAAAAATGTTAATGTGCATTGGACAAATGTGGTTGTTGCTGTCGTTGTCGTTGCTGTTGCTGTTGCTGGTGTTGTCTGCAGGTTGCAGCGGGTCGCAGCTCGACAAACGCAACGTCATTTTTTGGTGAAAGTCAACGACGCATGCGTCGCTCTGCGGTTGGATTGGGTTGGGCTCAGTTTCGGACTTGGATTTGGAATTGAATTTTTTTGTGGATTCGGTTTGGTACGTACACTGCGTGCGCTGCGTCTGATCAGCCACAGACTGCTGCCTATTCCATAGATTAGCAATAAGAGACGCCAAATATCGTGTCCCGCATGCCGCTGCCCGCAAAGCTGCACGATGATGTTTGGCCAATAATCACTGTGGATATTGCCGTGGCTGTCTCCCAACCAGCTGTTTAATCCGCCACTCTCGTTGCCAGTCAATAGACACACATCGGATTTGTCCAGCCGCATTTCGTTTTCGTTGATGTGTCGATAAAATAATTTGTCAGCTTAGCTGCGACGTTCTCCATTTGTAAAAACCAACTGAGCAAGCAGACAGAATCAGACCAAGATGCTGTGCCCGGAGCTCGGAAAGCTCATTACAAGCGCAACAACAAAACACAACGAGAGCTCGGAATTCTATATCACAATGGAAGCGAGAGCTTCCACAGATGAACTTGACCGTGAAAGTTGTCAGCGTCATCGCAGCAGAGCTGAGAATCCGAAGAAAAAAAATGTGGACTTGCAACATGTGACGTCAAAAGTTTTTGTGGGCAAATACGGGCATTCAGCAGGGATTCACAGTTGCATGAGAACAGGAAATCAAAAACCAGCCAACCAGTCAACTAACTAGCCCTAGTAAGTAATACCTTTACGAAGCATTGCGAGCCATACCCAAGTCCAGCTGTATAGAAACACTTTACGAAAAATTTCAAAACGTGGCGAAGTGGCCAAATCGAATGATACGAAGAAATAAATATCGTAATTGCTGAAAATTAGATCTACACAAACAATTGAAAGTAAAAATTGATAGAAAGTGAAAATGATAATTATATAGGGGAAGTGAAAATGTACACATAAAATAAATGTGCTAATTAGTGAAGAATTCAATTTTTTTAAATTTATTTCTTAATTGCAGACTAATTTAAGTTTATTAAACGTTTGTCTTAAAGGAATTCTTCATACCGATGTAAGAATGAGATATCACTTGGTAAAAAAAACAAATTGTTAAAAACAATTAATATTAATCTTAACCATCATTTATATATAAAATAAAAGTAATTATTCTTCCTCTTTCCCACCAATTTAAATACAAAATACTAAGAACTTGATTTACTCTTTCCACTTTTCAAGACATTTGCATTTCTAACTTGATTTTAAATTATAGCTGTTGATTAATAGCACAACTGGTCTTTCAAGTCAATCACATTTTGACTAATTTGACATTTTGGGAGTACAGCTAAAAAGTATGCCTAATCTTAACTAAAAGTAAACAGACCTTAATACATGGAATGTGCTGTGCTTACATTTTTAAATTGATTTAAATCAATGCTTGTCGGCCAAATTACACATACTTATGCTGCACAGGTAATAACTTACAGGGAAAGGCTGCTTAAAGATCTGTTAAAAGAATCATTAACTTTATGAGAACACACACATACACGTTTACAGATAAAAAATTTAAGTGTCGATTTAACTGTGTATCGGATAAGAAATGTTTCGCTGGCTTTTAATGCAATTACAAAAATATGCAGATTATTTTTATAACATAAACACAACAATTCGAACATAAACAAAATAAATATAGTATGCAAAAATTAAATAACTGAAGAGTGCTTATTTCTTTGTGGACTAAGATATAAAAATATTTTCACAAGACACTAAAAACTTTTGTTATTAATAAAAGCTTTCGTGACACAATAACAATACTGTGTATAAAAGTATGTCACATTTAGCTGATTGACAAGTAGATACCCTGTACGACTGTCGTGACACACCGCACACTTGGGCTGGTTGAATACACATGTTAAGAGCACAAGGTCTTTTTGATTTTAATAGATAAAGCATCGACGTAAAGTTTATTTTAGTTTTATGTGTAGTTCGTAAGCACAACATAAGTCGAATTTCGAATACTTTCAGTGTAACTTTAACACTTTATTCATATGCGTTTATTACAACAATATGATCAATACTGTTTGAGTCTCATCTCGTATAATGAACTCACATCAGTTGATTTCATACGTAAATCCTGTCAATAAACTGTGTAACATGTGTAGAGCGAGTTGAACGATCTGTTAAATGTGCTCGTTACGAAAAGTGACAACAGCAATAACAAAGAGGAAGAGATTCAAATGCTGGAGTCAAACGTTCAAGTGTCGTAAGCCAAAACATAAAACCATCTCGCACTCTTATGCTACGACACGAAAGACCTGCTAAATGGTTTAGAAAACAGACATTTTAAAATTGTTGCTGAACCCGAACCCCGAATGCGACTATAAGTACATGTGTTCAAGTTGTTATAAATAATAACGAAGAGTCGTTTATAGTAAACGTCAATTCTACAAGATCACACACAATAAATATCAGTTGAGAAAGGCAGCCCAGTGGCAAAAGTTAGTAGTTTGCTGTAGCAAAGATCAACGACTCAGCTCATGAATTTTGTTTGTGTGCATAATTACTTAGTTAGGCCAGTTAACAAAGATTCTGCGTTTGAATCGGACCATGAGAAATGGCACAGAAAAAATCGATGACTTCGTCCAATTTTGAATGTATTACAGAAAGTATACACCCAATACCGACTGACAACAGCTTGAAAAGTAGGTTAAATTTGAACTAGGTATTAATGCGTCTCTTAATAAATACTTTGATCAAATATCTAGAATATATCAACTAAATAAATATAAATATATAACTAAATAAATCTGTGATTAAATAAATTGATCGATTAGTTATGTCTTATGCAAATTCGAATTGCTTAACACTTCTGCGTCGAAAGTAACGCGATAATTGGCTAATTAAAATTAGTCAATTCACAAAAGAAAATTTCAAATTTTTAACTGTAAATTGAAGAAGAAAAAACCTGAACGCAAGCTTATTTCAAATTCAAATATATATACTTTGTGTTAATATACATAATTATGCCACGCATTAATGAATACGTTGGCGAGGCTAATGAACTAACATTTCCCCTCGACTCTAGACAGTGAAAGCCTATCGACCCATTGTGCAATGCGAGTTGCTAAATTTAAGATTTGAACGCCAATAAGAAGTGGCCAATCAGAATGAGCAGTCATCTGAAGTTAGTCGAGCTAGACAACGGAAGTGGCTGGCAAGTTAATTGAGCACCAGAACCCACTGCATATAGACGAGTACTTAAGTATTTACTTGCACTTAGTTGCATCTGCAATTGTTGCTACTGCTGCTGCAGCAGCAACTTCTCAAAATTCAACGAGTTTGCAACTTAAATGGGCGCTTGTCATGACAGTGACCGGGCTGAGGTTGAAATTCTTAACCGACTGGCCGGCCGGCTCCCTGTTCAGCTTATACGATCGGCGCCCACCGATCCTCGGCTCACTCTGTGCTTAGCTTTATGCTACAATGTATTTAACTCGGCGTCCGTTTAGAATTTCGCTCAGAACTTGTAACGTGTCGGAGGTGTTGGCGTCGCTCAAAAATATACGGTGTGAGATTTTTAGTGAGCCGAGTCAAATTTTCGTGTCCATTAATTAATTGTCGCGCTCGCCTTAAGCTTGAATCGGTATTTTAATTAAATTAAATTTAATTTAATTTTATTAAATTTCATATTTATTATACGCAATGCAGTTGTTGTATAGCATTCCATTAGTGTTGTTGCTGCTGCTGCCAGTGGGAAGTGAGTCGGCCAGTGATTTTGCAATTTTAATGACAATTGTTTTTAAGATCTTATCCGTAATCTGTGGTATTTCTTTTAGAGGTTGCCGCTGGCCAACGTCTGTTTGCTTATGAGCGCGGCAAGTGCGAAATTGCAATAAGCGACGTCTTGGAGGGCTTGGTTAAAACGAGCTTAAGACGTTTGACAAACCCGTCAGAACGCGTTAGCCAGGCCAACCTTTTACAGTACGATCTCTATACGCCGCGCAATCCACAAGAGCGTCAAATTCTGCGTTCAGGGAATGTACAGCTGCTAAGGAAATCAAACTTCAATGGCAAATGGCCAGTCAGGTAGAGTAAAGTGTGAATTTCGCGTATCCAATATAATATTTGGACTTTGCAAATGAACACAGAGTCGCCATACACGGCTGGACGGGCAAGAGCACCACCTGTTACAATGCTGCCATTAAGGATGCGTATTTGTCGCGCGGCAACTACAATGTGATCATCATGGACTGGAGCTACCAGGCTATGGACATTAACTACTCTCGCGTGTCCAAGCAGTTGCGTTCGATTGCTGCCAGTGTTGCGAAATTTCTGCACTTTCTCCATAGCAGTGCGGGCGTGCCCTATGAACAGATCTATTTGGTGGGCCATAGTGCAGGCAGCCACATAGCCGGGCTAACGGGCAAGCATCTGAGCCCGGCGCGTCTGGGCGCCATCTTTGCGCTGGATCCAGCGGGTCTTTCACAACTCGGCCTGGGACCCACTGAGCGCCTGGCACCCACGGATGCCATTTATGTAGAGTCTATACACACGGATCTGGAGCTGCTCGGCAATCCGCAGGGCACTGAGCTCAGCCAAGCAGCAATCTTTCCCAACTGGGGCCTTGGCCAACCGCACTGCCCAAACGCAACTGCCACAGAATTTGACATTAGCTGCGACCATTTTGCTTCCCTCTTCTATTTTGTAGAGTCTGTGCGCCGGCCTAAGCTCTTTGGAGCGGTACGCTGCAACTCACTGAAGAGCGTACGAAAGTTCACTTGCGGCTGCAACAACAGCGCCAAATACACCAAGTTCAGTGCGGTTGCATGTCCCGCCGATTCATACATGGGTGGCGAGCCAGCTCAGCCCAAAAAGGGAGTCTTTTACGTCAGCACACTACGGCAGCCGCCTTATGGCACCGCCGATGGCCTAGTTCACATGCAACCACCTAAAATGTCAACTATTAGGGAAACGCGACGAATATTTGCTTAAATGCAGACAGGAGCAACAGAGGCGAATAACCAAAAAGTGATCCTTAGGCTATAAATCTATCCTATAAGATTTCGGGACTCAAACGAGATATGCATAAATATTAAATTAATATATAAGAGACTCAGACTGCACTCTCCAAATAAACCTGTTTCGGATACCAAAAATATTGCAATTTACCGCAATTACAATAACAAGTCGAAAAAAAAATAATGACATATGTAATGAAATCCATTTTTAGTCGGCACATTTAGTGCGGTTCATACTGATTGAAAGCAGAATTCTGTTTTTTTTTTAAACCGACTAAAATACAAATGGCAAGTTACTTATCACATAAATAAAAGCTAATTTATTTACCCCTATTGAACTTGATCTTCAGAAGTTTGTGTTAATGCAAATTAAACTAGATAGTTTTAACGATTGTTTTTATGGAAACTAAATGAAATAGAAGTTTATTGCTGATGCGTTGTGCGAGCTGTTTTAGGATTTATGGATCACCACGAATAGCCGAATCGATCAAATCATGGCACAATTCAACATCAGAATTTATAGATTTTTAAAGATAAAATTAAACTAACAAATTTGAACAAAAGATTTCATTAGCAACAAAAATATCTAATGTTTTTAAACCTTAAATTTAAGTAATACCTTGTCTTATTATTCGTATAACTATATTAATACATTTATCTAAATAAACGCTAATTGATTTTCCCTTTTTTAAAGCAAAAACTAATTCCTAAATGGTGCTAATGATTTTTAAGCATCTCTTAATGATAGAGAAATTGTTCAATAAACAATATTTTCCGTTAGCATCATTAAAAAATAATAGTTGTAAACATCACAGCTTGTTTATAAAATTCAAGTTTCTGCTAGTCGAGCCCCTCTCATTTGCAATAATTTATATACAATTGACTCAGCAAAATAGACAATATGTATTGAACTCACTTGACTTGGTCCTATGCGATAACTGGCTACGTCCAGTTCGTTGACAGCGAGTATTTGTTCCACGGTAATATCTTTATTGCTAGCCAAGTCGCCGGCTAGTAATCCGAAGCGACGCACAAACTCTAGTAATGGCACAGATTCGGGGAAGCCCAGACGATGCAGACGAGCCGCCTCTAAAACTTGTGAGCCACGTAGCTGAAAGCAGACATAAATATACATGAGTACCTGCTGCGAGAGTTTGTTATATATCGTTAATCCACCTGACTCCTTAACAGTGGCACATTGACCAGCTCCTCCTCGGTAGCCGGCTGAACTAACGCCGTGCTGGGCGACCCATTCGCCGTAAATTTGGCATGCTTTCCCGCATTGTGTTGTAGCAAATAGCAGTGCACAAAGTGAGTGCCCGTGCGACGCAACGTGTCAATTATGCCATCCACGGTGAACTTCACCTGCAGCATAATTGAGTTACGTTTAACGCCTGCCGTAGTGAAGGAACGCCGTATGCTGGAAACGCGACGCAACGACTGTGTACCCTCCAGGCCTGCGAACGAGCCGCAAAACACCATGGCACCAGAGCCGCGTGTCAGTGAGCCAATATAAAGACGATTTATCTCTTCACGACTGCTGTCCTGCAGCAGCGACACGGCGTTCCTTATGCCAGGATGCTCGCGACTGTTTCGCACCCAGCCATCGACGGCATAGAGCACCGGATTGGTGCCCTGCAGATGATGCAGCACAAACTGACGCTGTCCGGCACATTTGCGTAACAAAGTGTGATGTTCACGATCACCGTAATGCGAGAACAAACGCTCTAGGAATGTGTCGTCGTTCGAGTTCGGATAGATGGCCTCCTCATCCAATAGCCTGCAATTTAAGCACTTAAATAGATTATTGTTATCGCAAATATTACTAAAAATACCCACCAGAGCAAACCGCGACGATCATGCTCGCGCAAATCGCGCTGTGAAGATCGCACCACATGATTCTGCGGAGCCTTGTCAATCAGTGATATCAGCGGACCCGGATGACAATCGGAGGCATGATCCATTTCGATCTCCACCAGTTCCTGGGCATAGCGATCCCGTGGCGCTACCAGTGTTGTGTGATGAAAAAGCATTTGGAGTCGCTCCTGCAGATAGTTGTGACGCAAATCTGCCAGAGTGGCACCCAGTTGTTGACCACAACTGGCTGGATTTTGGAAGCCTGGTGTATCGATCAACATTATTGAAGCAATAGTATGGGCTGAAGTGCAGATCTGTCGATTTATCAGAGCCACCACAGCGGCCAGAGCTTCTGAGTAGAGGCCAATGACGAGCGCTTCGAGACATTCCCAGGCCCACTCCTGGCCCCCATCCGAGGTGGGCGACTTAGAAGGACTCAAGCTTGCGCCCATATTGGGTTGGGTAAGACCAAAAGCGGCTGCCGATAAATCCTCCAGATTGACGCCTAATAGGCTAGCGGCCTTGCGTGCTGCTGTCGGATTGGCAAACTGCGTTCGAGCCGTTGCTCCAGTGCCCATTCGAGTAATGCCCGCAATGCCCAGATGATAAATAGCAGCCAGTATACTCCAGATTCCCCGCACAGCCTTGGCATCGATGTTTAGAGTCTCGAAAGCCTGCACTGTACGCAAAAAGTCATTGGCTGCCCGATGACGATCTTCCAATCGTTGCGAAAGCGATATGAACGGATGGCTGTCTTCCGACGAGATGTTCTCTAAATGCAATTCTTTCTGCAGCAGACCTGCAGCTCCAGCCAACAGCCGCGTCATAATGTGAAAGCTGTGCTCTTGCGATAGTCGCCGTCCCGCACGTTGTCGTTCCGGTAGCAGCACCTGCAACCAACCAATAGGCGTGAGTGGGACAATTAAAATTATACGTGACCTTAGTTCAGTTTACCTGTAAAGATGCTGATGCTATTTGACCAGTCTGATCGAAATCCAAGCTGAGCAGCTGCGTCATACGCGTCGCATTCGAGTTCAGACATGTTCTCGTATTACCAAAGGCTTCCAAAATTGTGCACAATGCACTCACTTTTTCCGCATTAATAAAATTATTGTACGCACCTACACAACAAATTAATAACAGTATTTATTAAGACTTCGAATTGACAGATGTGAACTTTGTGCTTAATCTATATTGATAATAATTGATATTTAAGTAATATTAAAAATTTCTTTTAAGTGACATCTTAACTTTTACCAAGAGAAAAAATACAAGTTACAGGGCTATCGTCGGGAGTGACCGACTAGAAGATACACTAAAGCTGATATTTCATCATTCTACGCTTTTTCTATTCAACACATACATACACACTCACGTGAGCAGTCGCTCCGCTCTCTGAGCACTTTGCGCAACGGCTGGGCTTCGACTGGGTTTATTAGTTTTGCTATAGGAAATTAATTGTTTAATAACCTTTTTTCCAGATGCACTTTCTTAATAAACATTTCAAAGCGCAATAATGAAGTCTAGATGTGTGTATTGGCCAAAGTAAACGCATCTACTATTTGAAATACTTTCTTATACATTTATGATGAAGCGGACCGATGGCTTTGCCTTCTACCTTCTTCATTTTCACCAGTTCATAATACATTCGATCGGTTCTTAAACCTTTTAAAGGTTAAAAAATAATATAAAGGAAGGGAAGCAAGCAAGAGTAAAGTAAAGATTCTGAAACATATTTTGGAAAACTTTTAATATGAATTTCCATGCTTTTAGTTGTTTTTAAGTTATTTTGACATTTTATACTTGAATATCATCTTACGTCTTTTTAATTGCATATTATACAGCCTCTTTTATTATATTAAGTATATTACATACATTTATGTTGAAGTTTAGCGCTATTTAAACCAGGTGCAATGCGTATATATAAATATAGCGTAGTTTAAGCTTCATTAAAATCAAATATGAACACAATACAATTTTTTGACATATCTCATAACCTACTGAATTAAGCTGTTTAACTGAAACTATATAATTTGATCTAGAATAGATATAAAAGTTTGAACACTAAGAATGCCAAGATTTATTATACTTTTTGCCGAGAATCAGATAAATGGATTACAAATGTAGCTGTCTTTCAACTCAAGATCAATTTGATAAGAGTTGCGTTTAGGATTTGTCGTATATGGTATAACCTACGTCATGAAAAACGCAAATTATACCATTTTGCAATGATAGAACAATGAGAAATGGTTTGACAAATTGCAGCTGCGCTTTATACAAAATGCAAATGCGCTAATCGAACGGCAGATTGGATTTTTGGTGTGGCCCAAACGGGGCCAGCCAACAGCGACAATAACTACAACAACTACAAACACCAACACACCAGCGACAGATACAACTACAACAATAACAACAACAGTGTCTAGACATACCAGCAGCCAACGCCAAGTAGTTGAGCGCATGCTTAAAGCTTGTGGTCTTGCCAGAACCAGAACGACCCATGAATATTAGACTTTGATCGCGTCGCGTTTCAACCAAACTCCTGTAGGCGGTCTGGGCTAGCGAGTAGACGTGGGGCGGCATGTCCTCCGTTTTGCAACCGCGAAACATGGATACAACCTACAAGCAAGCAAACAGACAAGAAAGACACCAAGATAATAAATAAGCCGAACAAATCAAATCAAACCAGTACAGCCCGAAAACCAGACCAGTCTCACCTTCTCAGAGTAGAGCGACAGCGGTGCCATTGGATTGACCACGAGCAGCGTGGGCCCCGCCTTAGTGTGTATCAGATTGCTGGCATATCGCTGTCGGAGGCAGTGCAGCACGGACGCCTCGTTCAGATACTTCAGCTCGCAGATGTCCTCAGCCAAATCCAATGCGGGGATGTTCTGCTTTTCGATGTCATCCTCATCCACGGTCAACTGTTCGCCATTATGCAGCAATCGCACGTTCAACTTGTGCTCCTCATACGCCGTTTCGCTGGGCGGCAGACGGATCGCTGCAGTAAAGCCACCGCGATGCACCAGCCACACACGTTCCGGCTGTGCGGCTTCATCGACTATGTCCACATCGCTATCGTTTATGCCAATAATGCCACCCGTACCATTCTCGTGCCGACTCTGCAAAATATAAGCATATATTTACTGAATATCAAAGAATATCGGGGTCAACAATTTGGTGGGGCGCAACTTCAAGTGATATTTTATGTACTATTTCTGTCTATTTTTGGGCACACGCATTTTCACGCATTTATTCCATTTATTATGGTACTTCAGCTCCGTTGGATTCAGTTCACCTAAGCGCAACGTCAGCTTTTCGTTTTTCCGTTTTATTTTGGTGCATTTCTAAATTTGATGTTTCTAAATCCTAATTAGTTGCCCAGACTAACAGCCCATAGAGCGAGGCCCAGACCCAGTGCCCGCCCCTTTTCCCATTTCCCCTCCATCCGAATCCCATTCCCATGCAAATGCTAGTGGGCTAGACATGCTCTATGTGACTGTTGATGTTGCTGCTGCTGCTGCTGCTGCTGATGTTACTTCGCCATAGCCGTGGATGCGCGGCTGAGTTATGCAACTCGCCAACGTCGCCAGCAGCGTTTCGTTGGCGGTGCCAACACGTTCAGTTCACATTTGGAGCTATAAATGGCATTTACTCGTTGCTGCCGACGCAGTTTACTTTTTGTACGCTGCTATCTATGCATCTGCCGCATCTCCTCAGCACACACCACCCGCTCCCCTCTCTATCTATACAACTTTGCATTAGCTTGCAGTTGTTGCAATCGTACTTTGTGGCGTAATTATGAAAATATTGTGCTAGGTTCAATAGCCCGGAATTGGAGTCATTTTCAGTTATGCACTGTTAATAGATCGAGAATTAGCTCATACCGATTTCAATATTTTTAAAGCAGGAAATAAATTTTAGGATTCATTAATGTCAATTAGAAATGTTTCGATGCCTGACTGGTGCAAATGATGAATATAGACCAGTATGTATAACTATAACTAAGCCAAAATTATAAAAAAAAAATAAGTTTGGAAGTAAACTGGATGAGATTAAAAATAAACTCTAGCGAAAATTACCTTGAACTCACTGATCAGTCAGATATTCAATAATGCTCTTTAAAAACTATATATGGGGTGTACTTAAATCTCACAAAAAAACCTAAATAATAAATAAATCAACTTCAAATGTAATTGCAAATTTCAAAAATCACTATCGGATCAAATCTTGAGTATGAACAAACGATTTTTCAAAAACTTCATCTAATAATAATTTTATGTTTAGCCAATCTCAAACAGCACCCACATTTGTATACACATCTACTTATATATATATATATATATATATATATATATATAGTATTATAAACAAATGGGCTGACAAGCGTCTGTCCACTGTCAATCAATAGCTGCAGTCGTCGATTGGTGGGGCAGCTGCGGTTCAATGAACCCGCCACCGTTTAAGTTGATGAGATGTACAAATTAGACAAGGAATGTGCAGACAGACCTGACTAATTAACATGTATAGGGCATGGCGAGCTATGAGACAAAGAGCAGAGAGCGCGAAAAGCAAAACAGAGAGCAAAGGGAACGAGAACATAGGGCGGGCTGTCAATTAAGCTCTGACTAAGGTTTACCAAACGCAACTCAATGTTAAGATTTGATATCTAAAAACTATCGTTTATTTTGTGGCATGCAACTGTCCAAGCTGAAGCCCACAGAGAGAGCGAGAGACAAGAACAACAAAGCGAGCGACGTAAATGAATACTTCCGCTCGACAGGGCAGCGCGTCCATCGCTCGACGTTGTCTGCGTAGTGAGCCATAAAACCATAAATGCAGCGACAAGACGACCATGTCGTAAATTATGAGCCGACCATTTGCCCACGCACCGTCCCAATCCCCAATCCCAATCCCATTCCTTACCCAGTCCCCGTGTGCTTGGCCAACAGTCTGAGCATAATAAAATAACTAACAACTGAATCGTACATTGGGTCACGGTTCGACGATCTATCGATCCATTCATCGATCGAGTCATAAAGGGCTAGAAAGTTTTTAACACTAAGCGACAAAGATGAGAAATAAAATTTTATTTTATTTTTAAGCATCTTTTTACTGAGCGGAAACAATTAGATTTTAGTGCAAGATCAGCAGCAACAGCTCCTGACACTATTTAAATATGTAAGCACACAGTTATGACTCGATAATTTTTAAGTTTTGCTATAAGTGCAACCGCACCTTAAGCTTTTAACTACACACACCCAAATGACAAATGCGCCACCTTCGCGAATATATGTAGACACCTTCCATGAATATAAGTAAGCAAGTATTTAGGTCGCACTTTTTCCAGCGAAAATCGACTGGATGCACAACGAGAATAACATATGGGTGCTATGCAAGACGAGCAAAAATAAGGTATGAATTATGTGGGTAACTAAATTGTTTATGTATGTCGAAATAGTAATATATTTATAAACCTATATGCATACTCTCCAATGTATAAGATTGACTAAAACTATAGTGAATTTATTATAAGAAAAGTTTATAGTAGTGTAATCCTTTTCGCCAATAAAAAACAAGGATTTCCTTTATGCTTCGCATAATCTGATATGTAAGGAATATTTTTAAATCTATAAAAAGAATTACGCTGTAGCTTTTCAATTTTTGGTCAGATAAAAAGATATATCCACCTAAACATGTTCATAAAGAAATATTCAAAAATCTTTATTGTATGCAAAAAGATATTCTATATAGTTGATCTTTAACTTTATAAAAAGATATATAAAAAGGTTAGAAGGCCTAGAATTTTAAAGAAGGTTTTTTTTAGGTCAGAGATGTAATATTGACGTTCTAAAAAAACCAAATACATATTAGATATTTGTAATCTATTAATTTTCCAAAATTTAGCCCTCAACAAAAAGTTGTCTCAAGCAATTTCTAAGTCTGTTGCTCCGTGCAACGCCGGCTAATTTTTGGTTATTTAGTTTTTATAGGATCTAGATCTAGGTTTGTAAGATTATCGAAGTCTTGCGATCAGAATAATAGTATTTTGTGGCCCAATATTTTTTTCTTTCAAATATATAATTAGTAAACAATTTCACGCATTTCGTTTGGTTTTTTTTGTAGTCAAGTGTAATTATATTATGCGCACCTTTTGCTTAATGCTTGCATCATAGTTTTTGTAGTTGCAGGCCAGTGAGTTGGCCCAGATGAGTGGCCACTGCTGAGCAGCGTTTTGGGCATCGCGTCGCCGCCGATAAGAACTGCGTATATGGGGCACAGGCGAAGGTGGCGCTGCAGCAGCTGCTGCTGCTACATATTTGGATACCGCTATCGCGGAGCTGTTCCACGGCGGCCGTATCAATGTTGTTGCTGCAGCATTAGCAGATGTTGTTGTTGTTATCGTTGCCGTTGGTGCGTTTATTATTGTTGTTGTTGTGCTTGGCGTTGTATTGATCTTGCCATTCTGGCGAAAGCTGCGCGTGCGAATCGAATTCCGCTCGATGCTGGTAACAGCAGCAGTAGCAGCTGTAGCAGTTGTCTCCTTGACTCCTTGCCTAGTGGCTGCCAAACGCGGCGGCTTGGGTGGTGGCGGTGTGGGTGGAACAGTGGCCAACGATGTGGATGGCCAGCTGCTGGAGTTCTCTGAGCCGCTTTCACTGATCGTTTCCGAGCTAATACTATTCTTACGTTGCGCCTTTGGCGTGGCTTTTGTTTTAGTTAGCACGCCGCTTGTTTTTTGTGCCTTATTCGTGCCGCAGGCATGTGCCTTGCCCGTGCACCCACGATGAAAGGATGGATTTAGGCCGGAGCCAGGTGCTGCCGGCACAGCAGGCACAATGCCGCCACGCAGTGTTTGCTCGAAGTTTTTCGGCTTGAGAAACATGATAAAAATATGAGTGCGAGCGTGTTTGTTTGCTTGTGTGCGAGTTATGTGATCACTTGGTACTTAGATCGTAAGTCAAATGCAAACAATTGTCATGGCCAGCAGCCAGCAGAGCTTGGAGCATGACCAGACCCACACAGACCGGGCCAGAGACGCACAAACGTGAAACGGGAAATAAGTGCGAAACTGGAGCGCGCCCAAAACCTTGGAAACGTTAGTCGCACCACAGACTGAACAATCTTGTTGTGCCTCTTTGTGTGCGTGTATGTATGTGGCTGTGTGAGTTCAGGCACTTAGCGTTTTGACATTAGAGACAATTGAACTGGCTGAAAATGGCCAATCATCGTGCGATCGCCGTTTGATTGATTGATTGAAATGCAAGACTCGAGTCACGAACGCGAATCAAATGCGAGTTATGAATTAACTATTAACGACAGCTTGAATGACAAGAATTGTTGACGTTGTTGTTGCTATTGTTGGTGTTAATTATGTTGTTGCTGTAATCCCGCATAGAAATTTCACAGTGGGTGTCTCGCGTTTCAATTTCCGTACCGAACTTGGGCAGAGTTTGCAGCGTACTGACGGCCCAGCTCCAACGACAGCGACAACGAAGCAAGCAACAACAACGAAAACTCGACAAAAACAAAAGCAACAAAACGCAAGCAGCGCAGCGCAACGCCACAGACGTCGACGTCGACGGCGACTGCGACGTCACGACGTCAGCTATTTGTGTAGGCAGCCGACGCAGTCCAAAGTGGGTGTAGAAAAATGCACACAGCTGCAGCTGCTGCCGTTACTGTTGCTGCCGATGTTGATATTGACGTCGACGTCAACGTCTTCGTCCATGTTCGCTGCTTGTCTACGGCTCGGCTGTTCGTGTTGTCGAGTTGGAAGCAAAGGGGAGCTGTGCAGCATGTTGTTAATGATGTTTACTAAAATGCAGTTCGAGTTTTTTTCTCAACAGTGTTGCCAAATCGTTTTATTTTCGTCTGCTGAATGAAGTGAGTAAGGCGCTCAAATATGTCGACGCCTTTCTGAACTCAGCCAGACAGCAACAACACAGCAACACAACAACAACAACTATGTTCCAATTGGAATGAGACTAGGCATATAGCTGGAACGGGCTGGGCCTGGAATTTCAAGCGATTGATCGCTCAGGTGCTGACAATTTTACAACACATTTGCAAGAGATAAACACAGTGAAAAATGTCAAACACGTTTCTAGCTGCGGCTAAAGTCAACAAGTTAATAAGAATTTCAACTGCAATTACAATTGGAATTGCTCGACAGGTAGTTACCCTGCATATAGACAAATTGGTCAAGAAAATTACATGTATATTGATATAAATATAAATATATATAAATACATTTAAGTTACTCGAATATTTTTCTTTACTTTCATTTCCCGATCCTCATCATTATACCATCATCATCATACGCTTCTGAAACTCTTAACCCCTCTAAGTTAACTTGAAATGTTTACTTTAGTGAGCCAATATTTGCATGCTTTTATTTTAGATACGTTGACCACTCCGATGGGATTCCCGCATTGAACAAACTTGTTCATCTTCTTATTTCTGGTAAAAAACCTGAATCTTTGGGTAATTGAAAACAAAATACCCTAGAAATTAGTTGCAGCTATTCCGAACATATATATTCATAATATGTCGCATTTGAATTCTTTCTGTATGTCATATGCAATAAGTTAAAGTCAAGAATTTAAGAACATAATTGAAATCTTCTTAAAAGCTTACAAAGTTTTCAATTTAAAAAGAATGTTTTTAAAATAGCAAACATCGATCAATATTCATGGATAATTTAAACTAATATTAAAGATCAAATTAAAATAAAAAAGAAGAAGAGAAATACCATCTTTAGTAAGAATTTATTTGGTTTATTTATATAAATATCAAAAAGCTTTATTTCCCATACACTGATCCTATAGAAACTTTATGAGATTGTAGACGTTAGGTAGATGCCTTGGGCAGGAAACTTTGTATACATATGTTTTTACCGATTCTTTTACCTAGTTTTCTTTTAAATATCCGATAATAGATATATATGGAGGTTTGACTGGCCCTAAGCTCCCAGTAATGCAAGACATATCCAAAGACATATCCAAAGATTTATGAAAATAGCCTTATAATGAAGGAACTAATTTGAATATAAGGGCAAGTCTTCATTGATTGTTATAATTAATATCGAATTTCTATAGTTTATAAGGAAAATATGTCAAACAGTTCAGAATTTGTTATTAGATAACTAATCTGTTAAATTGGCATAAACTTATAGAAAGCATACGAATTTTTAACAGCTGTTGCTCAACTATTCAAGAGGAACCCAATTCCTGACCAGCCTCAATAAGAATTGCCTTGTCAATAACTATAACAATAACAGTAGATATATATTTACATGCTTAATGTTTAATCCATCTTCATATAATAGTATATTACTGTGAAATTCATAAAAATAAACGATATTTCCAATTTTTATATGTGGAGAAAATAAGGCTTGTTAGATAGTCCTCTCTACTATAGATAATTTAGATCATTCCTATTAACAATTCAATTTAAATCCCACTAAGAATTTTTAAAATCCTATTGCGACCTTGGACACTAGTTCCATGTGCGCTGTTTAATTGTTTATAAAAATTACCTGATTAATGAACAATTACGAAAGATTATGATTTTGCGTCTGTTCCAGACAACAAATTTCATTAATCACTGCGTTGCTAATGGATTAAGATGGGAATCTGACTTGTGGTCTTACCTGACGCTTGAAGCGTTTGCTGGCGCTGCGGCGAAGAGTGTTACAGTTGCCGTTGTTAATGGAATGATCGATCTCTTCAACGGTGGCCGTGCTGGGCGCCATGCAGCGCTTGCTCAGCTCCACCAGCTCAGCCACTGGTTGCACCTAGATGTGTAAAAGACAAGGAGAGCTATTTAGTGTGGATGTCTTGAAATTGCCACGTGTGTTACGCACCTCGACGGTAACAGCATCACCACTGTTGCGTATCATCTCTATGATAATCTCGCGAGATAAATCGCCCACTGGTGTGCCATTGACTTTGATCAAACGATCGCCAGGCAGCAGGCCCGTGGCACCACCCCCGGCACCAGGTTCCGCAAATATGACCGGTCGAAAGATGGGCGACATCAGCGATTCGGTGCGGTCCAAGCATATGGCTTTTCGCAGGCTGAAACCGAAGTCATGTCGCGGTGATTTCTGCCGTTTTATGACCAACTGCCGGGGCGGCGGCAGCTGCACCAGCTGTACTGGAGGCAACGGCAACTGCACATCCTCAAATGCGTGCACACGGGCCCAGCGATCGATGCCCTGCGATTCGCCCACAGGACTCATAGAAAATGGAGGCGTGGCAAAGGAGGAGTTTGTGGTATCTGTGAGACTGTCTGCACTCGGCGATGGTGATGTCAGCACATGCAAATGGGCAGTCTGCGTGGGCGTCTGTGGTGCACCATAGCGAGCATTCGCCGGCAGGGTCATGGCACGCTGCTGTGGTGCATGTTCGCCATCGCTGCGCAGGCTCTCCACGGAGGTGAAGGATGTGCCGTGTTGGCTGGAATTGGAGCCACCGCTGCCGCCGCCACGGTTGCCCTCAAACAGTTGCTCATTTTGCATGGTGTTGCGCATCAGCATTTCGGGCGTGCCGCCACCGGTGAAGACAATCTCCTCATGAACGTTGGTCATGTTGCTGCGCGAACCCTTCAAAATACCACGCTTGGGCGGCTTCGGCGGCACCGGCGGTAAAAATCGATTCTGTCAGTATAATAGTAATTATATTTAAGAAGCATCAACTTCGACTAAGCATTCTCACCTTCAGTCCACTTGAGAGTAGGGAATGTGTAACCTCGCCGTAGTTCAAATTAATGGCCATGCCAGCTCCGTTGGCGGCGCTTCGACTCTCGATGTGTGTCATCACAGATGCTACAATTTCCTCATTGCCACGATCCTGCTCTGGCCCGCCATTTCCACTACCAGTGCCATTCCCATTCCCGTTGCTGCTAGCTGCATCGGCATTAAGGGCCGCAAAGAAATCTGCACTGTAGTCGGCTGTTATCCCACTTGGCAGTTTTTCCTTCTCCTTGCGGCGGCCACGTATCTTGAGCGATCGACGCACTTCCTCCAGACGCAGCAGCTCATCGGTGCTCATGCTGCCAGTTACCCCGCCCCCGCTGCCGCCTTTAGCCTCTTTGCGCAGTTTTTTTTCGCGCTTGCGACGCTCCTTTTCCTCATCGCCCGCGCTCTTCTTCATAAAGTTGAACATCCTTATTTGTTCGTGTGTGTTTTTGAATGTAAGTCCTTAGGGATATAAATGTAATCAAACCATAAAAATGAGCTTTGTAGCTAAATATGTATTCACACTCTCAGCGCCGTTTAGAGCCCCACAAATTGCTTTTCCCTCATTTTACACATAGCAGAGATAACATTTGTATAAGAAAGCCAACTGTGTACAATTAAATTTAAAGATAATTACATTAGCCACAAATGTACCAAATGTGCCAACTCAATTTAAAAAGCCAGTTGCAAAAGACAAAATGAATTAAATTTTGAGAAAATATATATATATATATACTTCACGTAGCAATAATGAAAAAACGAACACTTTTCTAGCTATTCAATACATGCAAATGGTACATCTATAATGTACCATTGCTGAGCAAATGTACCTTGAGTAAATGTATGATAAGAACTGCAGGGTTCGCACTTCAAAAATAATTGATAAACTACTTAAAATCAATTTAAGCAATTTGTTGATAAGATAGCAGATAGATAAAAAAAGAAGATACTTAAGTAATAATTGAATTGAAATCGAATTTTTAAACACTCGTCGAAGCAGACTTCGGGCTTTGAGCCGGTTTACAGATAAGTACCTATCGGGCAGAGGGGGTTGCGAATGTCGCAAGTTCAAGGGCGTGCCCAACAGTTTTGCACATTTTTGTTCTCTGCTGCTAATTTAATTTGCCCTGCCCTGTCCCGGCCAGCCACGGCCCCTTGCATTGCGGTTAGTTTCGCATTTTTCTTGGTTACTCTCTTTTCTTTTCTTTCACTGCAAAGAAACCCTGATACCAATGCACCCGCACACAACCACAACAGTTAACTGTTTTTTGCACGTCTACACGTGTGTGTGTGTATGAGTTTGCGTTTGCATGAAATTGCAAAATCTCGTAAACAATGCGTCAAGCATGCATATTTTTGTTAATCTTGCATTTCGCTTTGATGCCAACGGTGGCTTTTTGTCATTGAGGCTCGCCCCCATTTGTTATTATTTATTCAATTATGCGCTTTCTTTTTCCATATTGTATACAATTTTTGTTTTGTTTTCACGCACACACACATACGTTCAAACAGAGACAAATACATTTGATACTTAAGGGGCCCGTTGTTATTGCAGTTGTATTTGCAGTTGAGTTTGTTTTTGTGTTTGTATTGATTGCCCCAGACTCGATTGCATTTCATATTTAGCTGTTTAATGTTGCTTAATTTAATGGCCTCAGCTTGAGTCTAATTATTTATACAATACAATTTGTGCCCATTCAGCAAAAAACCAATAGACAGAGGGTGGAACTGGAATGCGATACGAGCCAGAAGCAAAAAAGAAAGCTGCCTGCCACTAGCGAAGTCAATAACACCTTTGTTTTTGCAGTTTTCTATGTCTCTTTTGATAAGCACTCACACACACACACAAAACAAACAGTATTATGATCGCTTAAAGAATTCTGGCTTTTACCTATTTGCTATTTAAGCAATGCGCACAATTACGCGTTTGGCATAAGCAAATGCCTTTGGATTTAAATTCTAATAATTACAAAATTTTACCGTACCGACGACCACAACCGATCGGCCAGTGTGCACCTAACTGCGTTTTAGTGGTGGACCAATATTTAAACACATATCGATGTTCAATTTAAGGCCAATGTGTACACAATAGCTAAGCAAACAAAAATATTGTAGCAGTGTTGGAAGACGCAAAATGTTTTCCCCTGCAGATAAATTTAATTTCATTCAGTGATTTTGAATTAAATATTTTTATTAAACTATTAATTATTATTTAATTACATATTAAAATCAAAATAATTTAGATATTTGTTAGTAGAAAGTTTGAGATTCAGGAAGAAGTCTTCCAGGAAGAAATATTACTCTCGTTTGAATAATATGTTTTACGTACTGAAACGGTGTCCGGAGTTGGAATGGTCACCCCAATTGAATGGAATATGTTTTTCGAAGTGTTCCCATTTTGCTTGGCCATCTGATAATCTCCTGAATCGAAAAATGTTGGCTTCCTTTGCAAACGCTTCTCTAAGAAAAATGATTGACCACCAGACATTTATATACTCGTATAATTAGGATATTTTGAATCCATCTGGTGCTCTTCGACTGTCCCTAAGTGAGGGAAAATATTTTGCTTTTTGGATGGATCACTGAAGTCATTGTCGGTTGAGTCCATGCTGATACATGAAATTAATGAATATAAACATATATATATATAAATATATTTCACAAGAAAAACTTGACTCTTCCATGAAAAAAACAATACAATTGAATATAGTCGTTCAAAAAATTGATTGTCATCCTAGCACTAATACTTCAAGTGTTGCTATGAATCATATCGGCCGGCCACCGTAGGCTTTTCGACCGACCACCACAAAATGATTCGTATATCGCAAGAATAAAAAAGTGAAGCGTAAAAACCAAACGGTGCATGTACATGGAAAATTAAGTGTGAGTGCGTGTGTTTATGAAAAATATAATATTTCAACATATATATATTATGCGCACCAGGACAAAAGACAACATTCGATCAGTTCAACAATTTTGTGGCGAATCCGTATTGAACTGTGTGTGTCTGAAACCTCACACACACACAAGCACTCACAACACACTCACCCGTTAACACACAACAGAAACAAAAACAACATACGTGAGTGTCGCTGCCGTCACCGTCACCATTCTGCAGCAGAGTCTGCCTTTTACATTTGTGAAAAAGAGTAAAACTCAAATGCAAAAGTCGGTTCTTTTGCACGATTAGGTGGGTTCCAAATTATTAGTGGCATTTCAAATGCAAGTGTTTTATGCCAAATACCGCTAAACAGCCATGGCCTTTGTTATTGTTGCTCGCTCGCTCGCTTAACAAATTTTCGTCGTCGTCGTTGTAGTCATAGTCGCCGTCGTCAACGCGGACGCCGACGTCGACGTCGACGTCGACGTGAATGGTGTTGTCTGCCCCCGATGGTAATCTATCTTTGTGGGGCTGTATGTTTGCGTGCATGTATGTATATGCACGTATAAATCGACATATGTGTGCGTGCGTGTGTATGTATATATATGCATTTGATAACTGTATTAGTGTCTAGACATGTTGCTGACAAGGCTGCAAACTCAAAAACTTTTGCTTGCGGTTCGGTTTGCCGGTTTGAGCCATTGTTTAGGCGCGTGCGCAAGCTTATATTATTCTTGTTAGAATTTACAACAATATGAAAGGGTAATCGTAACTAATATTGTAAAAAATTCTTGTCATTAAATCGTAAATATGTATGCTTAAGCAATGTACATGCAAATATGTATGTGTGCCTGAACTGTGTCATTGAACTGGTTTGCAACTGGTTCGGTTTAGTGAGTGAATCTGTTCCGAATCGGTGTGCAGTTTTTTTTTTTCTGTCGCTGCTGATCACTTGATGCGCCGACCTACACACGTACTCTGGCAAATAGAAAGAAACGATACTGTGTACATATTGTCTGTCGAGACATGTTCACGTCTCGCCCGCCAACTTTCCCGGCCGGCCCACACACTTTCCTTTTGACGCGGCCTCGCACTTTGCATTGCAGACACACAAGCAAATATGTGTGTATGTGTTTGTGTGCGTGTATTTTGTCGATTATATTTTATGTACATTTGTTTACAGTTTTAGATAGCGAAATTTGTACAGCCGGCAGCGACCGCCAAGGCACGGAGTTGACATTTTCGCAAATTGCAAATGAATATATTTTTTTCAGCTGCGATCGTTGCCGCACTCTCTGACACACACATGCACGCGTGCCCCTCGCACCTTTATCGCTCGCTGCGATCTCAACCAGCGGGCCACACAGACACACTGTGCGATACATGCAAGCATATATATATGCATGAATACATGCAAGCACTGGCACGTATGCATACATATGTATGTAAATATATTCGTACACATACATATGTATGTATGTATGCGTGTAAGTTCATGAACAGCCGCGCTCCGACGACTTGTTTTGATTTAATTTCGCGGTAAATGCAATCGCGAAAAATTTTGCTCGTATCGCTGCTGCTGCTGCCCGCTTTGCGGAATTTTGTTTGAAGCTAAAACGGCAAAAGAAACAACAATAATAACCGCAAGAACAATTGCAACAGCCGCGCTGCCAATGTGCTGGCGCCTCTACGTGTGGGGCGCGCAATGACTAAGTGTAAGAAAGAGGGAGAGAGAGAGAGAGAGAGAGAGAAGCAGTGGAAGAGAGCACCAGGGCGGTCGCCGTCGTCGTCGCGACAGCCCTTCGGCTTACGGAAATGCTGCAAATGCTCGATTTTCTGCTTTTTATTATTATTATTTTTTTGAACGATCGATCCTATTTTAATAAGTTTTGCAGCTGCTTTTACTGCAGCTGCTGACGCAAGCGCCAACAATAATAACAATAACAACGCGAGCAACAACAGCAGCAAAGGGCTGTGCAATTTGCCATAAACACGCCAAAAGACAATAACAAAATATGCATATGCACAAACATATATAAATATATGTGCACATATGTATGTGCATTTTAGAGATGGGTGCGTATTGAACTTTTTGGGCTCGAAAAACAGTCAAAATTAAAATAGATGAAAGGTTTCCTATTGATTTAAAATCTAGTAGTCATTAATTTTATAATGTTTGTTATAATTATTATATTCATTGGGAATTGCGTGGGACTTTCTAAGTATTTTCACGCTCCCATCTCTATAAAAAAATTTGCATTATGCATCGCAAAAATGCTAAGAAATATTAGTATTTTGTTGCACTATTTATACCCGTCTTTTTTAACAAGTGCCCTCATTGTAGAACCTGGACTGGAGTGTGTGGAATTGGTTAGCTCGGCGCACCCGGAACTGGAAACAGCCTCAACACGAATTACCTACCATTTGCGCTGCAGAGGAGATCGACTGTGGTTGCCAGCGCCGCAACTAGATCTGCCTCAATAACGCCAACACCAACGACTTTAACGATCCCTGGCAGTCGTTTAGGCTTCAACTTGAACAGAAACAACAGTAATAGCAACGCCAGCAACAACAACAGCAACGGCAGCAGCAGTAGCAACAACATAAATAATTGCAACGTGTCGGAACTGAGCGACGCACTGCTTAACAACGAAGTGCCTGGCGCTCAGTATCCAGTAGTGACGGCAACAGAAGCCATCATGTCCTTGACAGTAACGGGCACATCGCCCACCAGCCTCGTTGAACCCTTCGTTACGGTCCACCCAAAGATCGTGCGTGAGGGTTGGTTGCAGAAACGCGGCGAGCACATCAAGACTTGGCGCCAACGTTATTTCGTGCTACGCGACAACGGCTCTCTGATGGGTTATCGCAGCAGGCCCGTAGATTATACACAGACGGACCAGCTGCTCAATAAGTTTACCGTTCGTGGCTGTCAAATAATGGCCGTCGATCGGCCGAAGCCCTTTACATTCATTATACGCGGCCTGCATTTTGCGACAGTAATCGAGCGCACATTTGCCGTCGAATCGGAAGTTGAACGACAGGCCTGGACGGAAGCTATACGTAATGTGGCCAGCAGGCTGTGCGAAGTGGGCGAAACGGCAATGTCGCCATCAGCCCAAACCGACATGGGAGATGTGGATATGGCCGGCATAGCAGAGGTGGAACTATCCGAGCAGTTCTCAGTGCAGGGAACCACACGAAACAGCAGCGGCGTTAAGAAAGTGGTATGTACACAGGATACAGATTCCCATATCCATATATATATATTCATTCTTATTTCATTTAGACACTTGAGAATTTTGAGTTCCTCAAGGTGCTTGGCAAGGGCACCTTCGGTAAGGTGATTCTCTGCCGTGAGAAGGCTACAGCCAAATTGTACGCAATCAAAATTCTCAAAAAGGAGGTCATCATACAAAAGGATGAGGTCGCGCACACACTAACCGAAAGTCGTGTGCTAAAGTCAACAAATCATCCGTTCCTGATTGTAAGTGTTAACCTACTTCATAACATTTAACAATTTTACGTCAGCGTGAAACCGAAATCTTAAGTCTTTAACTAGGGAAATTCCCCGCTTTGATTTGTTTGCCATGAAAGTGCTTTTGACAGCTGAATATGAATTGTGATTTTAGTGTTTCTTATGAAAGCAAAGCTTAAGCGTAAAATATGAAAGGAAAAAGACAGTAAAAATATAAGATTCACTATACGTTTGTGTATATATAGATTTCATTGAGAAATCTTTTAACAGATTACTTCAAAATTATTATATTGAAAGTAATATATTGTTGGCTATAATGAAAAAAAAACATATTGCCTATTTGCATAATACATCTACTAGTTTATTTAATTACAGTCGTTGATAACTATAGCATTCAAATATTTTTTATTTATATAGAGAAAATTATTTTTTAATAAAACTAGGTGTCAAACCGAAAAGTGCACTGTAATTTCGATTTTATACGTATTTGTTTTTAGGTATGGATCATTTTAAAAGTTGACTTAATCATTAATGTATCTAATGTAACTGTTTCTTGTTCTCTATTTTGTAGTCACTGAAATATTCGTTTCAAACCAATGACCGTCTCTGTTTTGTTATGCAATATGTGAATGGTGGGGAGCTATTTTGGCATTTGAGTCATGAGCGCATCTTTACAGAGGAGCGAACACGTTTTTATGGCGCCGAAATAATATCAGCGCTGGGATATTTGCATTCGCAGGGTATAATTTATCGTGACTTAAAGCTGGAGAATCTTTTGCTGGACAAAGATGGTCACATTAAGGTAGCGGACTTTGGGCTGTGCAAAGAGGACATCACTTACGGTCGTACAACAAAAACGTTTTGTGGCACACCGGAATATTTAGCGCCTGAAGTATTAGACGATAATGATTATGGGCGCGCGGTGGATTGGTGGGGCACCGGTGTGGTTATGTATGAGATGGTGAGCAAGAGACTACATTGAATGTTAAATATACAGATCTCTAAAGGTATTTATATTTCTTTAATTTTCAGATCTGTGGACGGCTACCATTCTACAATCGGGATCACGATGTGCTCTTCACGTTGATATTGTTAGAGGATGTGAAATTTCCTCGAAATATAACGGATGAAGCAAAAAGTCTATTATCTGGTCTCTTGGCTAAGGATCCTAGAAATCGTTTAGGTGGAGGGCAGGATGATGTTAAGGAAATACAAGCGCATCCATTCTTTGCGAGTATTAATTGGACAGATCTGGTGCAGAAAAAGGTATAAGCTTTCGTAACTCGCTTAATCGAAAATTGACTAACAATTCTATTCACACAGATAACGCCGCCTTTCAAGCCTCAAGTCACATCAGATACAGACACTCGATATTTTGACGAAGAGTTTACAGGCGAGAGCGTTGAATTAACGCCGCCGGATCCCACGGGACCATTAGGCTCTATAGCCGAAGAGCCACTTTTTCCGCAGGTAAATTGGGCTTTGTATAATTTGTTAAATTAAATATTAAATTAATATTTCATCTCCAATTTACAGTTTAGCTATCAAGGAGATATGGCCTCCACATTGGGCACGTCGTCGCACATAAGTACTTCCACAAGTCTCACATCGATGCAATAGAACAAGTTTAACAAACACACACATACAACACATGCATACATAATAAAAATACATCAAATTCTGCTTCATCACCTATGATCACCCGTAATATACTTAGTTATATAGAAATGGGTAAAATTGCGAGCAAAACCGAAATAAATTTGTACCGCTAAGTTTATACACCAATAATAACACATTGAATGATAGTAACTTATTTTTCTTACAATAAAAATAGCTGAAGCAAAAAGCAAGCGGAGATAAGAGAACGTTGAGCGCGATATATAAAAAATATATAGTATACAACATAAATTTATACTTATACATACATTTAAATATACCATTTTAAGCATAACGCTTAAAATGATTAGTTAATTTTTAAATGCAAGTATAACATTTATCAAGCGAAACAGAAAAGAGATGAAAAGAATACACAAAATTCAATACACTACTAGCATATAAGTAAAAAAAGTTTATAAACCTGCAGCAAGATATCGAAATACACACTCCCACACCAATACACACACATAACCAATACTATACATACAAGAAACGCATTAATTATACTCCAAAGAAGCAAAAAACAAAAACATATTCGAGTTATATTCAATGGTAAAGTTGCCTCTGATGTGCTCCGCTTTATGCAAGAGCTGAACACAACAATAAAAACAACTACTAAAAGCTATAAATATAAACGTAAAACAAAATTTCAACTGCAGGTGCGCCAATAATATTTAAGAAAATTATTAAAACAAGAATAAGAAAGAAATTTATATATTGCATATGCTTTTTTACACAAATATTTGTACATATTTATATGAAACAAAATCAATTTTTTAACCAAAATGTAAAAAAAGAAAAAAACCAAAATTTCCATTTTTGAATTTGAAAAAAAAGCCTAAAAATGTTTGTCATAAAGAGTATGTCGGCCTTGCAGAGTTGATAAAACAGCATTAAGCATGAAATGTTGTGAATAGCTATCAGATGCCACTAAAAAAGAATTCATACTTAAAACCAAAATAAAAGTAAATAAAATTTGATATTTTTTTATAAAAGCATGAAACTATTGAATTAAACATGTAAATAAAAAGTAAAAATAAAATGGATAATTTTCGGGCATTGCAACTAAATACAATATCTACAATAAAAGTATAATCTCCTCTATATACAATGAAAGCATAAATAAACAAAAACTTATCATAAATACATAAATAAACAAAAACTTATCAATTGAAATATAAAGAACAAAAGCATAAGATTTAAATACGAACCCTATTTTCTTAAATAAAAACGTAAAACGAAATAAAATAAAACAAAACTAAATTAAACTAGAAATAATTATGCCAAAGAACCGGCGAAGCGAATAAAGTAAACTCATAAATCCATCTGATAAATTGAACAGATCCGACAGGTGAGTTAGAGTTTAGCTTATAAAATACATAATGTGTCGAATGCAGTAGTTGATTACTTGTTGAGAAAGTACTAGGTTCTAAACGATAGTTGCATCAGATCATATTAAGGTATACGTTAGTAAGGTATATTGTATACAATTTCATGCGTAGGCTTCAATCTTTTTGCTTAAGGCAATTAGTTTGAAGAATCGAATTAGAATCAAATCGAGAATCGAGTAACTTTTACTCGATACATCAAAAAGAAAATAAAGAAAAATAGGTAGCTAATATCAGGATAGACGATCCATTACGGATCAAATATGCAGCTTATAGTTGAACTTTTCATAAGCAAAGCTTATTAGAAACGACTACACAACGATTTCCACAATTCAAATTTTGCAGTTACATATTTGTTTTGAGTTACGGATTATGTTATATGTATGATGTATATGCATACATATCCTTTGACTCAAGCAAACAACTGAAAATGCAAATAAATAGCTGACCAAACAATCAACTGAAATCTGCCAATGCCATCAAAACGGCAAGCTTTTAAAATATATTACAATATAAAATATAAAAAACGTATCGAAATATTGAGAAGTCGAAATCATTTAGATGCAGCATAGACATTTAGGTAATATCTAGAAGAAAATATCCCCTCTACCCCCAATCCATGGGGAACTGAACTATTCTAACACAGTCCACAGCCCACTATTACAGCATTTCCATTTGCCATCTCACAAACCAGTAGAGGAAAAGAAGAGAGAAGAATACAAATATTGTTTTCGATCAGTTGTATAACAATTTTGATTTTGGTCTTTTATGCAAGTACTGTTAACTACGATGTGTTCTACCAAATGGTTTGAAACTCGACTAAATTTCTTGTCAGTTCGAGCAAACGAAATTGTTCATTTTTTTTATTGTAAAATCCAAAAATGAAAAAAGATATATTGAAAACCCCCCAAAAAAACATAATCTTGATTAGATGTAATTTTTGATAAGCGAAACATTGGGAATTTCGCACAGTTTTAATGATTACAGTAAGCTTATTTATATAATGTAAACAAGATAAATAAATATAAAATATATATGTTTATAAAACAAGAGCAACAACTGAACAGGAACTTGTAGATAATATACGATCTACATAAATATGATATGATTAATTTATACGCGCTTACGCATACATGCATACATAATACACACACACATTTATATATATTTATATAAATACATATACCATATACATGTGTATGTACATATGTAACCATGTGAAGAACAATTATAATTTAAATGCATAAATAAAATTTACATATAACAGATATTTGATAGAAAAAAACAAAGCCTTTGAGAGATATGTTCTCTGTGTTTTTATTCATAATAATTTTTGTAATGTAGAAACCATGTAAATGTAGAACAATATTAGAACCAAATCTAGGGACAAACATTGGAATTGTAAATGAAAACTACCAAAACCCCAAAAATAATTTAACAGTTTGTTGCTGTTTAAGTAAGCTTTTGATTAAATAAACCTTGCCACAAACTACAAACTAGTTGACACACCTATTCCGGAATTGGAGTCACGCAGAAAAAATTTAATTCCTTGTTTCATCAGGCTGCAAATTGCAAATTGAGTCGAGTTAACTATGAGTGCGTTGAATGCGCTGTCCAAGCCCAGAAAATGCGGCGACTTGACCGACTTTAAATATTCGGGAGCGCGCCCATAGTAGGCGGCAGGGGGAGTGCGTTGAGCGCCTTATATGTTGTGTGTGCGTCCGCGAACAATGCGTTTTGTCTGATGATTAATTGCAACACAATCTTGGAGGCCACAGAGCCGCCGCCGTCGCTTTCCCCAAACGAGCAAACAGCGATGTGTGTAAAGCCACACACACACACACACACACGAATGTATGTGTTGCAAATGTGTATGTAGACAGAGACAGAATGTGTGTCGCAATGGCAGGCGGATATATTATCTGTGACATGAAGCTATTAATTTTTAACACTTGCGCCAGTAAAAAATAAATCCAAATTAAAATTGCCAAATGATGAAAGCGAAAGTAAATCAATCTATATAGTATGAGTATAATTGAACTGGGGCTTGGTCTTAAGCCGGACGCAGTGCATCCTTCAGAGGCCAGGCCCAGCGCAGGCCAGGCCCTTGAAAGGCGCACTTGGCAAAGCGAGATTAGTGCTTTCCCTTTTGATACTGCAACGTGTTTGACGGATGGCAACCAATGAAATGTCTAAGAGAAGCGAAACACCAGCAAGCCGAATAATTAATACTCTTACACAATTGTTATGCAAGTGTGACAAGGTTCATTAGTATTAACTTGGCCTTTTCCTTGAAATTATAAACTTTTTTTTGTGTTTTTTCTCATATTTGTATTTTCTATTATTTTTAATATTTTGATCCTATTTCTAGTTGCTTACAAAAATTTTTAGATTAGAATATTAAATTAATTATACAATAATAATTATGAATTCTATGATTTATTTTGCATACTTTTTTTTGTAAAACTATGTTGATTCTAACTTTCACTGAGCTTGTCTGCAAAGGCAGTTATGACAAAGTTATTATACCCTTCGTCAAGTGTATTACCAGCAGAGATTTAAGGTTTGGGTAAGCGGGAAGATGGTGAGGAGGAAGGGGGGACACGGTAACCGCATCTCGTTTTCTGTGTTTGTAATGCGTTTTTCGCGCTTTTCATTTGCGAAACGATTTTTCTATTTTCACCTCTTGTTCAAGCTGTTTGCTTTATAGCGATGTGAAAATGTCTTCAAACTAGAAAATGGTCAGCACAACAGCAGCATCTGCGGCAACAGCAGCATCAACTGCTGCATCACTGGAACTGCGACTGAGCAGTAGAAACCCGTGCTCGTATGTGTGTGCTGTGCTGTGCTGTGCTGTGCTGTGCTGGCAGTTAACAGCTCGAGCGGCCGCTCCTGCCTTCCAAACCAACCGTTGGCTGACTAAAAAGTGAAATACATCAAAGCACGTCACATCCATCAGACATTATGAACAGCACGAGAGCACGCCCCAGACGCAAGCCCAGAGCCAGAGCCAGAGCCAGTCTTGAACTGTTGCTTTGAGTCTGGCCAAGACTAGATACCCAGCAACGGGCTTGGGAGCGCATGAGGCATGTTTGACAACCAGGCCCAAAAGCGTCGCTAATGAATTGGAATTGTTTAAAGAGCGCAGCGAGGGGGCAGCTCCAGCCTCAGCTCCATCCTCCGTCCTCCATCCTCAGCGTTGGCCTTAGTGTCGTCTCTTGCAGTCGCTGCAATCGAAATTAATGAAAACTTTCGTTTATTTAATTGCACAGCAGCCAGACAGAGAGGGAGAGTCCATGAATACACTTAGAAAAATGTCGATATAATTATATTTGATAAAATTACATGTTATCCTAGATTTTATACGGATTTAAAAATAATATTAAAAAAATTATTTAAATACTTATTCAACTTCGTTTTTCAATATATTCGTTTGTTATTTTTCTTAGTGCATGCGTCGAGCAGCTGATATATACGAAATGTCTCTCAGTGCTTGGCGGGAGTCTCAGTGTTTATGGGTTATGGTTATGACCATAATGAAATCTATAGGGCAAGACATCGACAGCGGCATTTGAGTGAAAATGATTGATTGATTGATCGCTGCGTACCCTGCTGCTTCGGCTGCCATTGCTGGTGGTGGTGGTGGTGCTGCTGCTGCTGCTGTTGCTTTGTGGATCGTCATCGTCTAAACGTTATTGCATTGTTGTCTCTGATTGCTGCGTTACTCCTTTTCGGTGTACAGAGATTTGTTGACTTGGTTCAGACAATTATTATTTGTTTTCCGAGGTATTTAGTTGTTGGCAGATTTCGCTGCAATTTTGTTTATGGCTTTTAAGGTTGAAACATGATGTTGATTGAGCTGTTCGACGCCGCCAATTGCCAATCAATGGGAACTTTAAAGACGAACGTGCTCGAAACGATTTCCATGGGCTGTGGGGAAAGTCGTGCGTTTCAATTGGCCAAATGCGTAGTATCCTGTATCCAGCTGCTGAGTGT